TCTTTATAGTAAATAAGGTAGTATATTAGTATTAATATTAATTATATAGATATTATAAACTAAGCTTCTAATTATTATATATATATATATATATATATATATATATATATATTATATTATATTAAACTATATCTATATAAGACCCTATACCTTTAGTTCTAGATAGTATAAACTCTATTATAGGTTACCCTTTTATTTAGACCCTATCTAGTCTTTCCTAATAATCTCCCCTTATTTTTTTCCGTGCCCGAAGGCTAAGGTACGAAGGCCTATTTATCCGCGCGCGACCCCCTTCGTGAATACGTACTACATGATACTAATGCTACCATCGGCGTATACCTAGTGATGCGTTGTTACTATTTTTAGAAGTTGTTACAGTGTCCCCTGCGGCATGCGGTAGTTTTTGGGGGGCCCAGCGGGCGCAAGAAGCCTTCCTTGTCCGCTACACTAGGGGCCGGTGGTGAGCGTGTGGGGGGCAACGGGGTCTCTTTTTGGATGTGTCCCCGTATTACTGGGTGCTGCTGACACAACGCCGGACGAAACGGCCACCCGCAGCTGCCTCGGCCGGCGTGACGCGCGCCGCCTGTTAGTGCCCTTTTAGCGTCAATAGTAGAGTTAGCATGTCTTCGCTAAGGCCTGCGCTGAGCAAAAATGACAGGGCACTTTTTGCCTGCACCAGTGGGATCCTACCTTAACAATGCACTTGCTCCGTAGGCCGCGCACTTCATACGCCGTTCCAATCATAGTGGGATGCGCATCGTGACAATCGTGACATGGTGGGGAGATCGCCTTGCAACACCTAAGGTAATATACCTAGGTAGTGTGCGAGAGATCGGCCGTGGGATGTGGGAGGATAGCTCTGGGGTCGAGGGTTGAAAAGTGGAAAGGTCGGGATAGTGGGGGTACCCAGGAATCACGAGCCCCATCTCTCACTTTCCACTTGCCCCATCTCCATTCCCCTCTTTAATAACTATATATTTTGGTGCGAGTAGACAACCATGACACGCATCAGCAACAAATCAGGGGGACAACACCACCCACCAAGGCAGGTGAAGCAAGGGGACCTGCACATGAGCCAGGAAATATCAGTCCATCATCGTATTCGTACTTCTAAACGAGCTGACCTGTTGAGCAGTCAAGGCCGGGTGTTAGAATCTTCTTCGGAGGGCGAGATCCCTAAATTTTGCACAATCCATTTCCAGCCACAGTTATTCCATGGTGTGGGTAAGAAGTAAAAAAGAATCGAATCCAGCTCTTCGTCGGCAGGCACATCTTTACGTAAGGTAAATACAATAAACACCAGGTACGATCTACGCTCTTCGGCAAGTCCAGATGATGGTACATAAGGTAACGGTGGCTGCATGTCTTGCTTGCTCCATCCACTGTTCCATCCACCCCAAAAACGTCCAAGACAGAACCAGGGTCTCTGGTTCACTTTCTACTTGTCCTAGCTTGGGATCACCGCCTCTCATGAACAATGCCTGCGACATTGTCGGCCCTGTGCTGTTGTGCCCAGTCGTACACCTGATCATAGTTCTTACAGACGTGTCTCGAGCCGGCCTTGGCAGCACCGCCATCGTGCTGAAAGTTGAGCGTGACGTCGTTGATGCCCTCCAGCGTGGTATCCCCGTAGCACATCAGCGCCAGTCGCAGGTACTCGAAGCAATGGCGTATGTGTTCCAGGTGTGGTTGGCGACCGATGATTGAGTTGTGGAAAGCCGTCATGATGGAGAACTATAGTGTATGTCAGTGTCAGGATGGTACGCGCATAGGATTCCCTTGGTCGCTTTGAATGGTGGGCTACTCACAAGGCAATGGAGCTCGTGGTAGACGGCCACCGAGTGGACACCCCTATCGCCGTCGTCATGATGCACTCGCCCAGGCGGGAGCATATCCAAATTCTTCGTCGAGTAGATGACTCCTCGCCCGACTAACACACATATCCCCGTCAGTCAAGTTATGCGAAGAACACCACCATGAACCGTTGATGACGGGATTCCGGTCACCCCTCACCTGGCATTAACCTGTCCCACGCCGCTTTCAGCCTGTCCATCTCCGCGTCTGCCTCCGCGTCTGTAGTAAGGTTGTCCCAGTTTGGCGTGTAGTCTGTTGTCAGACTGAATTCCCATATCTCATAGTCAACTAATGGAAAGCAACAGGTCGCCAACAAGTGGTCGATCCTGGTCAGCGCCAAAGGCTCACGTCGAGATGAGGACAAGGATGGGAAAGACACACTGGGACCTTACAGGTAGGGACATTGAGTGAGTGGTCTTCTGCTATAAGAAGTTCGCCATCCCTCACTGGCCACAGCGTCAAGCAGGCTGCCCAAAAAGTCGCGGCGAACCAGAGAAATAGCAGTCCGCCTGCCCCCCAGTGAAGAACCTTGGATGCGCGGGCATGTAGCCGTGAAGGAGGTCTGCCGATTTCCCCGACGCAACCCTCATCGGACGGCAGCAGGTCGCTCGCCGATTCCTCTTCCTTGGTCTGATGATATCCGAATAGCATGGCTCCGAGGATGCGACCGAAATTCGCGACAGAAAATGCATTCAGTCGGGCAAAGGAGACGGATCCATCGTCGAACCAATACAGGCGCAGGCCTTCCTTCGCAATTATAACATCCACATAGTAAGCATTTACATACTGACCATGCGGTGAGTGGGAGAAGAGCCTGCAAGAGGAGTCAGGATTACAGTACGGATTGGTAGAGGGGACGTTGGTCTGAATCGACTGAAGATCCGGCCCAAAAGGGGGATTCAATAGGATTGAGGGACCGCAAGGGCGGAACCTCCCAACTCGACCGATCGCCCGGGAATAAGAGGTCGTTGTACTGGTATCTGGCCACTCATCAAGAGCCGACACAGTCGGTGAGGTTGTTTGGCATGGACAAGCTTTTTAGATACGGACGCCACCGCCTTCCAGGTTACTGTTTGAGCGGCATAATGCCCACCAGTTCATGTTTCATGTCTCGATCGCGACGATCCAACGAGCCCGGAGAAGGGAGGAACTTGGCTCCGGCTCTGCCCTGTGATCAAGTGATAATACCGACATGTTGTCCTTCCCCAGCTACTTCGTAAGTTCTCTTTGTGGTAGACGTAGGTAACACGGCCTCGTCGAGTCAAGAGGGGCCAATAGTGCTCCGAAGAACCCAGTCTTGAAGTTCATCAGAGTGCACTGCATGGCATTCATACAGATCCAAGGTCATATTCGTATGAATGACGACCGCTGTGCATGTTTCTGATTGTGGCAGTCCCTGCACTAGAGAAATGCAGTTCATAGCACATTGGATTACCGAGCCCGAGACCCTTTTCGCACTTGGATCCCGGCGAGGCTATGGAGACGTCTTGCCCTTGACACTGCGTACGAAGTAGTAAGTTGTCTGACCTATGTATGTACAATTTATTATTAACCTACAGGCTAGGCATCATTCGGATTTAGAGGCGGTCGTCCTCGTCTTTTGAGCCCCCATTTTGTTTGCACCGCCGCAGGGTTTTTCGTTTTTTTCTTGCCAGTGTGACGACCGAGCAGCCCAACAGCTTCAAGCAGGAGGGCGAGCCTTACGTTGTATGGCGTCGGAAATGCCCGCACCAGAATACCTTAGGTAGGGCCAGCGGGGGCCCAGACATGGATCAAGGTTCGACTGTGGTGGAATCAGGCTGCCCTCAGTCCCAAGGGCGTGTGTGCGGTTAACCATCGGGCTTTGCTAATTGGCTATACTCACCCTCTAACGGCCCTGTCTCGCCCATGTCTCTCGAGTCGTTGCGTTGTTTAGGATGAATGGCCAAGGCGTAATTAAATACCTTACGCTGGACTTCGTAAGTTGGTGCAGATGTTCCGTGGCTTCGCGTGCCTGAGCCAACTGGCCCGTTCTGACGGATCTCGGCTCATAGAAGGGGGGAAAGCTCAAGTCCAAACGAGACGACAAGTAGGAAGATTTCTTCAGTGAAATGAAGCGAAGGTTCTTTGAGAGCACGTCCAACAAAGTAAGGTGGCTAAGGATACAGATCACCTATACGGTAGGTACGCTGCCTTAGGCGTACGGGGTAACAATAATTCTGTACGCTAAGGTACGGAGTAATTACAGCGTACATGGGACGTACATGTAGATGTACAATGGACGCTGAGCAGACCCCCACGGAGCAAGTCCCAACTCCCGTGCGTGTGTCGACTGATGTGGCTCCCCCCGTCGATCGTTCTGTTGAGTTTGCAGGACTTTTAAGGTATATCGCGTGTTCGTATGTCTCGCGTGTCCTTGCTTCTATTTCGCAGACTGGACGGGCTTTGGGGTTGGTTGATTGTAATTGTATCCGCAACGACTTCAGCCACGATGCAGTCTGGTCGTGATGGTGGACGGACAGGCCTCTCTTCTCCTTTGCTCCGAGAAAGCGGCGCAACCCGTTCATTCGGCGAACCAAGACCATGCTACATACAATTGCCGAACCCCTCTCGCCTCCGGCATGCGTGTACAGGGACAGACTTCAGATATATATTGCTCCTGATTTGGTGCAGCCGCCCTGTCCCCTGTGACGTAATTCCAGTTTGCTAAGCCTGGAGGAGTTGTTTCGTAAAATACGAAGTAATGCTTTGAAGTTATCTCGGGATCAGTCGATTGCTCCTCATCAAGACCTTCCCTCTAATCAAAGACCGCCCCTTTGTCTCAGCCCAGTCTGTGTGTGTACGGATATGATTGGGGCGACTTCAGCCCACAGTCATCGTCATATCAGTGATCAGTGACAGTAGGTAATTACTCCCTCCGTACACCGTCGACTCACAACGTATGTACTCGGTATGCTGCCATCGGAGACCATTCTCTTGGGACTGTGAGGGCTTCTTTTAGCGTGCAGCTGATCGTCCATCCTTGCCATGATTTGTTCGCTTAAATTGGCACCTCGTTCCCGAGAGTCGGGGCGGAGCGATCTTTGCCTTTGCTGCGAGCCAGGGCCAGTTATACCAATCTCAACCTCGCTTTTGCCGGATGATTGCGCCTCATGGGAGCTGGGAACACTTGGTGACCTCATTTGTTACAATGATCATCAAGTACCAAGTTGACAGCGAATAGATATAGGAGCCATTGGCTCGGGAAGTTCTCCCCAAATCGTAATAAGATTGGTTGGTCGGGGGGATTCTGTTTTTCTGTCTTTTCAAACAGTTGTTTCCAGTGTCATTCCTATCGTATCGTAGGGCTACAGAAAACGAGCCCCCATAAAACCTCATGCAGAGCGAGGTACGACTCCGATTTCGATCCCAAAGGTGGTGGGTAAGTAAGGTACATAGATCCACAAAGAACAGTGGTCTTATAATATCGGATTATGAAGGCCTCGGATCCGCAGTATTCGGTCCCTCCCCATCCCAGGCATGACTTCTCAGGTAATATTTCAGGAAAAGGGGCCATAAAATATCTGGGTTCTCTCACGCATTCGCCGTAAAGAAAAGTATCCGTACCTAGTTTGATTCCTTGAGACGCTCTTTCAACGGTGACATCAAAGCCGCACTTCCCTTGCCTGCCCTTTCCCTCTCGAGCTGCAGATTACTTGATAAAGAACCCCTTCTTTGTCTTCACAGCGGACCGACCCCGAATCATCAAGGCTCTCTTAGCGTTGGCGCTCTGCTTACTGCCCTTGGGTGCCAACCGTTCGTCTTGCTTCTTGGGCGCCGGACGGTAAAGCGTGGACCCGACCATCTCGTCACGCGGGAGGGTGCTCTTTGCCTCCCGGACGAGGCTACGCTGCGCGGTTACAACTTTCCTGGCCTTGCGGGGTCGAGGTTTGGCGGTGTGCTCCGGATCCATCTCCGCGTCCGAGTCGTCGGAATCTGAATCAAGATACTCTGCGGGGAGCACGGACGGGACCGTCGTCTGCGTAGCGAGACGCTTCCTGCGTGAGGCCGCAGCGTCGGACTCGAGAGTAAGCTGAGTTCGTGGGGTGATGTCTCCTTCTGGGTCGTCTCCGACGTCAGACTTAACGCCGGGGGTCTGTGGCTGCTGGGCTTTACGGCTCTTCGCCTGTTCTTGGAGGAAAGCACTGCGTTCCTGCCGCTTCCGCTTCTGCGCCCTTGCTTGCCTACACTACGGGGTTAGAACCTCCTGTCAGTCCGGTGATTAGGTATCTAATGGACGTACTCGGTGATAGCTCGATTTGCCGCTTTCGCCGACCGAAGGACCTGTGCGGCAGCTTTGCTGGTCGAGACGACTTCAGGCGCGTCGTCAGAGTCCGAGTCTGACTCCCCGTCATCTGGACTTCGAGACCGAGCCGGCCCTGAAGACTTGGTCGGCCCAGCCTCAGAGACTCTGGACGGTGTAGCGACTAGCCGCTTTGCCTCGGAGTGGCTGCTAGAAAAGTCCCCCTCAAGCTCGACTTCGACGTTGGCCTCGGAAGTCTCGTTCCCGGAGACGTCTGCTTGCTGAGGCTCTCCATCACCGCTCGCCTCCTTCGCCTCCAGATCGAGCTTCGGCCTCTCCGCACCCGTCGAGACATCTGCTTCGCCGTTGCTGGCTTCGTCAAGAGCGTCATCTTCCTTTGACTTGGCTCTGATTTCTATCACGATGGACGAGGCCTCGGAAGAATTCGGCCTCTCCGAGTCCTTGGCACGAACGGGCAACTTGCGTTGGCGTTTGGGAGGGGAAATGGAAGCGGAGGATGTGCGGGCTGAGGGTTCTTCGGCGTCTCCGTCCTCCTCAGTCTTGCGCTTGCGCATCTGGCGTGTGCTGACCATGATTTCTTCGTTGCTTGACTGGCTTGGATTCGCTGTCCGTTTGAGCGCAGGCCGCTCAGTTTCACTCAGAATCTCCACGCTCACGTTATTTTCGAGCCTCGGAGCGTCGGGCGATGGAGCACAGGGATGGCCACGCTGGCCCTGCGCCACTTGTGGTTTGGAAGCCTGAGACCCTATCTCGGGCCTTCCGCTAGTAAGACGCCGGCTCTCAATGAGAGGCCTCGGTCTCTGAATTACCGGTTGCTTGGTAAATCCGTATGCTGATCCGGGCCGCTTTGGCGAGAATTCTGGAGGCCAGCGATGGGCGGTTGTGAGAGTATCACGTTGACAACCGAGAAGTAGTGGGATGGGAAAAATACATGCGTAAAAAACATCAATTTACGCCTCTAAATCTTGGAGAAGCGAATAATATCATCAGCCCTCATCGTTCTGATCAAGAAATAGATGAGTTGGAAACAAATTTCTTCCACCGAGCTTTTGAAGTGTGTTGATTGGAAAAGGTCGATTGGTCCATCTGGGATGATGATTAGATAAGAAATTCAACTTGCCATCCCGGATAAGGTACCTCAACGTACGGATATCCATAAGGTACCTTTAGCTTTCCACAAGGCAGCTCCTAAATCCTCACCCGAGCTCGACTAACTGCAACACGATGAACATTTTCACTGTTCATACTACAACAGCTTCTTTACGTTGTCAGCCTCCTTGATGGGTTTTATTCGCGACCAAGTCTGTTTCCCGATGACTGGCCCATGCGTGCCTAAAATTGAAATCAGAACATGTTGCGCCGTCCTTTACCCCCAAGAGGACCCTTGAACAAGTCCGCCCCGTTCATCCTTTCTACCTTCTCATCAGTATCGGGCCGTCGCCACGCCTCGCAGCAAATTAAGGTACATGTTCCAGTCCCAGAGAAACTGATGAAACTGGCAAAACCTGAGCGAGCGCCCGACTCGCTGGGTCAATACTTTTCCGACCTCGAACGTGACCGGAGCCGCAATTGGGTATCTCGTCCTCCAGAAGGGTTTAACAATGTGGCCATATCCGATAAAGACCTCAAGCTTGATGCGACTCGAGTTTATCAAATCTACTGTGCCTACCGTAAAGCCGAGCTTCAGAACGTAAAGAATCGATTGTCTATCACTTGGAAGCGCCAGTTTGTTAAAGGTGAGTACTCTCCGCCCCCCCCCGTTGACGGCCGCATTTTCTCGGTCTATTCATCATTTGAAATCCCGCGTCCTGAAACCTGCTCTAGATCATCACATTGCACTGTCATTGCTGTACGATATTGCACTCCACATGCTCCGGACGCCTAGATCGCCGGCCGACGGGGGAGCTGAAGACTGGAACTACGCCACCCGTCTCATGCAAACGGCAGCTGAACTTGGCCACCGGCCCGCCGTTCTTGAACTAGTCCGAAGGATTATCACGACTCGCTCAGACGCCGCGGCCCTGAGCCGAGAGTTCCCTGAGCTTTACACCAGTTTCCGTCGCATTGTGGCTGAAGGCCGCGACCCCGATGCCCAAACTCTGCAGGGCCTGCTCCATGCGAAGCAGGGCGATGAGACACGGGCGCTGGCGTGCCTGCAAAAAGCCAAGGATCTCGGGGCAGGCAAACCCTTCTTCTTCAAACCACTTTGTCTTGCTCGGATGGGTACGATCCTGGAGAAGCAGGGCAAGCGGGAGCTGGCGGAATCAGAATACGCCGAACTAGCCCGGGAAAACGACGGGCTTGGATTCTACCATCTTGGCCTGCTCTATAAGACCGACCCGATCGCCAAGTGGCTCTTGCAAAAGGCGGCCTCCTCGGGATTATCACAGGCAATGAGGGAACTGGGGAAGATGGAGTTGGAGGATTACAAGAAGGCGACGGAGGATGGGGATCAAGCCGCAGCACAAAGACATATTGCAGATTCCCAGGAATGGCACCGCTTGGCCAAAGTCTGGGGGTCTACGAGTCCTCCGACACATGAGACATATTGAAATAATTAGATGCGGCGTCATATGCATTTGGCCGACAAGGCTTGTCACCTCACGCATCATCATGTACGAATTTAGGGTTATTGCAACAGACATCCATACCAGATCTCGTCCCAACTTTGCGGACATGTGAGGTATTCTGATTCAATACAACTTGTATACCTACATATATGTTGATATATACACGACGAGGTCGATGCTTGTTTATGCCCAGTGACCTCAGATCTTGGCCCGCTGGACGCCTCCTCCAGGGGTTATGTGAATGACCTTTACTTTATCAACGAGGGTTCCTGCCTCGAGCTCTTTCATGATAACCTGAACTGGGGGCGAAGTCATGTGCTTGTCTAGGGCTGCCTGGTTCTCGTAGCTATTCCCAGACTCCAAGGTCAGCCAGAGCTCGTACCACAGGGGGGTTAGAGGGGGACGACAGGTGCAAGGGGCACAGTGAACTTGGGGGGAAGGGGGGGTTCCTTCTTACGTCTCGCGTATCACCAGCTCTTCCAAGCCATCGTTCTTGGCCTTGTCCCCGCGGTGGTAGCGGTACGTCAGAGTACCCGGCTCATTCTTCTCGGCATATTCGGCACATTTGGTGAATAGGTCAATGAACTGGCCACAGAAGTCAGCTTTGCCAGACGCATGTGATGGGGTAGGAAGGGAAAGTTAGGATTCGTCTCTCACCCTCTCAGTGTGGCCGGGCTTCGGTGTTACGATGCCCACGAGGTCAATGCGGCCGGCCATGTTTTCCAGTTAAGCAACGAGCAACACGCTTTGGAGCTTTTTGGGCGGTTCGAATGGATCAGGCGAAGGAAACAAGGCCAATATGTGGGAGGGTTTGCGCTGAAGGTGACTCGAATTGATACCTAACCACAGCTATGTCTTTCAAGCGACTCTCCGTTATGGTGTATAGATGTACGGAAGAGGTTGCAGGAAGAAGCGCGATTGGGGATCTGGGACATCTTTCCACTGAACTTCGATCTATATAACAAGATGCACGACAGAGGAGCTAAGTTGGCGGGGCTGGTTACGGGGAAGCCTATCCACGGAAAAGCTTTACCAGATCAACGCATTACGCGCTTTGATTTGAATTCGAAATCGATAGCTGATGCACTAATCTGCCCCCGGCCTCCATGGCCGGTAGACGAGCACCATAAACCAAAGAGAAGACTTGATGGTGGCTCTGTTGGCTTTGCAGCACGATAATAAACGCAGCCTGACTTGCTGTAGTGTAAGGTAGCCGACTGCACGTCAAACGTCGGTCTTTAGAGACCCACCCGAAGGGATGGTTCCGGTTCTTGGGGCAAGCAAGACAAATTCTACGTATTACGTACTGAGCTCCTCACATGACGAGGTATGGAAGCAAGCTACGATCGAGCTTGCGACGCCGAAGAGAACACTGTTGACACTGATTTCGCATATTCCCCTGCTCACTTCCCCGCAACACGCCTGAACACACTGGAATGTGAGATATGCACCTGTTGTCTGTGAACTTAACGATCGTTAAACATGCTCGGCTATCCAGACTAAAGCGTGCTAATCGAGCCATGATCGAGACATCTGTGAGTTTTCTTCCGATTTGGGATGTTCGTTTCGGGGGATGCGAGTGTTGCTGCCCTGCATGGCTCCGATTCGTGGGCTCGACTGGTTGTTCAGGGGCAACATGGCCAGATACGTCCACTAGGTCTTCTGCGTGTATGTTTCTCCGTCTCCGAGAGGCGAGATGTTGTTACGCAGTCACGTAGGGCACTTGGTTACGACGCTGGATTGCGAGGGGAAGCCGGCGCTGGGGGTTTCTGTTGCTGGGCTGGGGATAATTATTAGTGGAGGGAGTGAGCGATGAAATGACCCCGCATTCATCAGATGCTGTGAATTGAGCCATTTGTGGGGTACATACTAAAGTTGCACCCTGAACTGTACTTCGTTGTCATCAATTTTATGTATTACTCTGTAGGTACTCTGTTACGATAAAAAGACAATCCAAAGTCTCGAGATATCTTCGCTCCCCCCTTACAACGAGAACCAAAGGGCGAAACGTTTTATGCAGCACCCGCTTGCCGACTCGCCAAGGGACGTAGTTCCGTGAGCTTTTCCGCAGTTTACATTCTTCCCAAGCACCTCCTTTGGTTGACTCGCCTACTTCCCGGCACTGGGTCTCGTTGATCATGGGCAAATCCGACAAAAAGGGGGCAGGGGATAAGAATGCCGGCAGTAAGGGAAGTGGAAAGAAGGGAGCCAAGGCAGAAGGGACGGACAGTGGGGGCAAGGAGGCCGGTAAGGCCAAGGGAGCACAGTCCATCAACGTTCGACATATTCTGGTGAGTGTCACATCCTCTGTCCCGGTCCATCGACACTGCTTTGCCGGCTCCGACGGGTCTGAAACTGAACCCCTTTTCCCTACCCGCACCTAGTGTGAGAAACACTCAAAGAAGGAAGAGGCGCTAGCCAAGCTGCGAGACGGCGCCAAGTTTGATGATGTTGCGCGGGACTTCTCAGAGGACAAGGCTCGCCAGGGCGGTTCATTGGGGTGGAAGAGCAAGGGCAGTCTCGATTCCAAGTTCGAAGAAATCGCCTTTCAACTGGAAGCGAGTTCTACGTCCAGTCCGAAGTTTGGTGAGGCGAAGACGGGCTTCGGCTATCATATAATCATGGTATGTATGCATCCGAGGTGGTCACCAACCAGATGGCAACGAGACGATAAATAACATGGGTCAAGGTCGAGGGAAGAAAATGAGAGAGATACATCTATGCTGCCGACATGCCATCGAAAGAGAATGCGAATGCAAAACGCTTCATCGCGTAAAACTCCGCAAAAAGACTAGGCCTTGTGCTCCTCGATACGACCACAGACAGAGTTCTTCCAGTATTGTCATTTTTTTTATTTGCTTTTGCTCCTGGTCTGCTTCCATGCAAGATGACCAAAACCCAGGCGGCCGTCCTTGCCCAATGCCAGCTGAAGAAGCTAGAGTACAACCATCACTCTCTGTGACGGCGGATACCGAATCCGCGAAACCTCTACACCTTTCCTGCCTGAAGACGCCCGTCCATCATAGCCGTAGCTGGTACCGGTTTCGTTCGGTTTACTGCTCGGTCTGGAAGTAGTTGAGGATGATAGAGCGCTCCTGGGACTCCTCACCCCAGTCCTTCACGACGACGCAGGAGCAGTTGACGACCTTGCGCGCGTTGCCCTCACGGTCCAAAACGCCTGCATATCCCCTGTTAACCCTGTCGATGTGGAAGGGAGGGCTCCTGACCAGTCGAGGACGGCGACGGGAACAGAGAATAACCGGCAACGAAGGGAAACGGCAACGGAGACGGAGCAAAAGAACTTACAGAGACCAGCCCACTCGCCGAGCTGCTTGCCATCGGGCACCTTGATCAGAGGAATCTTATGCTCCGAGCAGAGGGCGATGACGAGCTTCTTGTAGGCCTCCTCCTCGCAGTTCTCGTTCAGGACGCACATGTGCGCCTGGCGGCGGTCGAGGGCCTTGGACGCCTCACGCAGACCACGGGCAAGGCCGTCGTGCATGAGGGCGAGCTTCAGGACACCCTTAAGGGCGTCCAGGACAGACATCTGGCCCGAGCCGGCCTCGGCGGAGACCTCGACCTCATCGGCAACCTCGGGGGCGTTGTTCTCTTCTACGTCCGACTATTCGAGCGGCAGGCCAGCCATCTGTTAGCCCACGGTGTTCCTTTCAATCCCTGGACCGGTTCGGTTCTTGGGGGCCCTGCTATGTATGCCAACCCCCCTGCCGGCGGGGTGCGAAAGTCGATCGGTATCGGTGGGAAAGGGCATCGGATTGCCCCTCTGTCACGAGGGCGCCCAAGCGCAAAACACCTCTCGTTGGATTGACTAGGGTTTCTGAGAGAAACTTACCATCTTGACTGAGTTGTATGGCAAGTAGTTGTCGGTGCGATCCTCGAAGAGTCTATCGTTTGGGGGGGAAAGTTAAAAGGGAAGTTTTGGCAAGGAGCGTGCGTGTGGTCGTAAACTTGGCGATTGGACCCAGGCGGATAACTTCGCCAGAGACACTTTGTGTGTGCCACTATCGGACATTGCCCAATTTTCATTGGTCAGCATACTTTAGGGCACTTGGATGAAGAGGCAGCACGGGCCACCCACAAGGTCCGTTCTCCAAAAATCCCGTTGGCACTTTTTTTTCACCGCTTCCCGTGGGGAAAGTACCAAGTCCGCGTTTTTCTTGTTGATACAAGTTTTCCTCCTCCTCCTCAACTCGTCGTCCGTCTTTGCACCTCAATATCAACCGAAGCTTCATTCATTGAGGTATGTACAATCATATGTCCAATATGGCGACTTAATTGAAACAGAATGGCGTATGCCTTTCTCGATGGCAGAGGGGAGCAATCAGACTGAGTCAGTGTCGCCGCTGCCGAAATACACGACACACGACGATGACCTTTGATACGCTCCCCTCCTCAGCAATGAGCGGCAGAACCCTCTTCAATTTGCGCCTTGGAGGGCACTCTCCCTGCTCGTAGCCTCGGAAGGCTAACTTCCAACCCCTTTTGTGGCAGATACCTCATTTCGAGCCAACAGACGATTTGAGAATCTCCACCTTCCAACAGCCAAGATGGTCCGCACTTCGGTTCTCCACGATGCTCTCAACAGCATGAACAACGCCGAGAAGGCCGGCAAACGCCAGGTCCTCATCCGGCCCAGCTCCAAGGTCATTGTCCGGTTCCTCCAGGTTATGCAGAAGCACGGTATGCTACAAATTACCCTATCTTTTGTCACAACAAATCGCCTCCCTGTTTGGTCTTTCGCCTCTTGTCTCGCCTGTCAAAGTAGCAAAAGCACTTTGTCTGCCCCGAAACCATTCGGCATGATAACTAGGGCTACGGCCTATTTCCCACGGCCCAGCCCCTATAAGATGCCGATAGATTGAGACATTGGCGAAGATCTTACACCTTTCCTAATTACACCCCATGAAGCTCAAGGTTTAATCTTTCGCGACATCATTTTACTGACATGACTATCTCTGCAGGCTACATCGGCGAATTCGAGGAGGTCGATGACCATCGTTCCGGCAAGATTGTCGTTCAGCTGAACGGACGGTATGCTCTTCATTGCCCACTTTCCCCCATGATGCTGCAATCCAGGTTCTAATCAAGCGGAATAGCCTCAACAAGTGCGGTGTCATCTCTCCCCGCTACAACGTCCGCCTCGCCGATCTCGAGAAGTGGGTCGTCAAGCTGCTGCCTGCCCGTCAGTTCGGTTACGTTATTTTGACCACCTCGGCTGGCATTATGGACCACGAGGAGGCTCGCCGGAAGCATGTTGCTGGCAAGATCATCGGTTTCTTCTACTAGACGGCAGGGGCTCTGGGAAAAAGGGGAAAACAAAAACGAACGTGATGAAATTGGGGATAATTCTGCGGGCGTTCGGGATTTGTCAGTCATGGCCGATATTATACCACTTGATGCGTCTTACGCCAGCTGCGTATTGAACCTGCTGCAATGAAACATTCGCAGGATGACCCGACCATAACCCACATCGCCTCTCCTTCTGATTGACATTTAATTGCGTGCACTTGTATCATCTGATTGATGAAGATGCTCCGTACCTTCCGTAGCGAGGTGTCTGCTGTACGCAATAGTTTCTGATTATTGATCTACCTCGTCGCTATTTGTTCTCGAAGCATCAGGAGTACGGACCGGCTGTGAAGGTACCTCTGTACGTTTACATATGCTTACCTTACCTACCTATAGGTAAGCTAGGTAGTCTCTCAGTTACTGTACCCAAGGCATGGATGGAGAGTGGAGTGAGGAAATGGCCTTGTGTACGTAATCGTACACTACAGCAACGATCTGTGCTGATGCTTGTGCGATAAGATGTCAGGGGTTCCTACTCCGTCTGTACACGTGTACAACGTACGGAGTACGTAATGTGTTTACTTTCAATGCGCACTCGTATAAGCTCTGTCCGGACTCCTGGCCCGCAAATTCGTCTCGGCGAATTGGGCCCAAGTCGCGAGGGACCAATCCAGTGTCACATGGTGGTACCTGCAGCGAATTCAGCACTCGAAGTTGTAACATCGTACCTGGTAATAATTACGAAGTAGCATTTCCCAGCTTCAATTAACTGGGAGCGACAACATCGTAAAATCTTCTCGATATGCATTAATAACGGCAAATACCCGACCCTCCCTGTCAAGTTCGCGTTGCACACATCATTCATTCCCAACGCGGTAGGTATGTATGTAGATGCCGGGGCTTTTTATGTTGAGACTTAACCCACATTGCTTTTGTGCGACATCACGCTCCGCATTCCCATGTTCGACGTAGTGCCACGGCGCGCCTGGTGGAGGGGAATGCCGGCCTCACGCGTCATGCGCCGCCGCCAACTGACTCTCATCGGCCTGGTCGTCTTCCTTACCGTCTGCGGATACACCGGCTTCCGGATACCGCCACCGCTAAAAATCACATTGACCAACGGGCCACATGCTAGGGCAGGCGACAGACATGAGCATGAGGCGTACTTTGCCAGCGAAGATGAAGTGGCCCAGCAGCGGCAGGAGCCTCTTGATAAGCGACCGAAGGCTGCCCCCGGCTCTGGTTCGCATCCTATCTGGAATCTCATTGCAGACGCCGAGCGAACCTTCGAGGAAGTAAGGGCCCGGCAGTCCAAAACGCTCCGCGAGGCCGTCGCTGAGTACCAACGCCGTTACGGTTTCCCTCCTCCGCCGCATTTCGACAAGTGGTACGAGTTCGCGAAGTCCAACAAAGTCCAATTAATCGATGAGTTCGACATGATCCACGACATGATTACACCCTTTTGGGGATTGAAACCCCAGACCATCCGCGCCAGGGCCCAGGAGGCACTCGGCCGCCCAAACTTTCTCATGGCCTTGTTGATCCGCGACCACGAGATAACACACGTCGAAGGGGCGCTCGATTGGCAGAAAGAAGCCACAAGCGGCATGATCAACAAATTCATCCAATACCTGCCTAGTATGGACCTGGCATTCAACGTACATGACGAGCCTCGGGTGGTGGTGCCGCACGACGACTTGTCTCGCTTAGTCGATATCGCCAAGAACCACAACATGCCCAGGCTCAATGCTGCCAAGGGCCTCCAAAACGGCTTCACGGAAAACCCAAAGGGACTCAGCGCTGGCCGCAGTACCGACGACATCAAACGTACCCGCTTCAACGTGTTTCCTCACCAGCCAGTCTGGAGCAACTCGCGCATGTCCTGCCCAGCCGACAGCCCCGCCCGCGCCCTCGAAGACGACGAACGGTACGACGACGCATCGAAATACGGAGTCAGCGAGCTCGGTTTTGTCTACAACGTTACCGCCATGTCCGACATCTGCCTCTCGCCTAGTCTCGCCGATACGTACGGCTTCTTCGACAGCCCCAACGCCTACAACGTGGCTCACGACCTATTCCCTATATTCTCGCAGTCGAAGATCTCGTCCTACCAGGACCTGGTGTACCCCTCTCCGTGGTACTGGGCGGAAAAAGTCGAGTACGACCAAGGGCGCGACAAGCCTTGGAGAGAAAAAGAGGACCGGCTGTACTGGCGGGGTTCCACCACGGGCGGATATAGCCGCATGGGGGGATGGCGGAGGCACCACCGTCAGAACTTCGTGCGGAAGATCACCTCGAACGGGCTGGCCAAGATCTACGTCAACGAGGGCGACCAGCGCCATCCCAACTGGACCGTCCGGGAGGTGCCCCGTGGGGAGTATAGAGACGCCATCGACATCCACTTCAGCTATATCGGGCAGTGCGACCAGGGAGACTGCGACGCACAGATCGAATTCTTCCCTCTCGAGGAGCACGCGGACCAGCAGGACGCCTGGAATTACAAGCACCTGCTCGACATGGACGGCAACGCCTTCTCGGGCCGCTTCTACGCCTTCCTGCGCTCGCACAGCCTGACTTTCAAGTACGCCATCTTCCGCGAGTGGCACTTCGATTGGCTCCGGCCCTGGGTGCACTACGTCCCTCTCAGCATGCGCGGGGACGACTGGCTCGAGGCGGTGCGGTTCTTCAGCAATGACGGACCGGGAAGTCGCGAGGCCGAGAAGATTGCCGAGGCCGGCCGGGAATGGGCTGGCAAGGTGTTGAGGAAGGAGGATATGGAGGCTTGGCTCTTCAGGCTCTTGTTGGAGTGAGTTGGCCCCTTAGTCCCCGTCCCCTATCCTGTCTGAGTTTCATTCTGCTTCTCTCGTCTTTTTCTTTCCTTCTTATGGCTTCCGTATTTATTGCAGAAATCCATCTGCCTCTAGACTGACTGGTGAGACTAATCGCGTAATAGGTATGGGCGTGTCATCGACGATAACAGAGAAATGATTGGATTTTCCTTCGATACCCCGACGTCTTAAGAGTTTGGACGGACCGTGTTACTGCTTCTCCCGCTTGATGCTGAGATGAAGTAAAGCCATTTAGTTTATGTATTGAGTTCCCATATTACAGGGCTCTTTGGAAAGGTGCATCTTAGCCTGGCGTTCGATTCTGGGACATGAGAAAGGCATATGTTCAGGACGCACAGTATTTTGTCTATGTAATAGGTGTACGTGGTGCATTCGTCTGTATCATTGAATTGATTTTCGGTCTGCATACACCTGAAAATGACACCAGAGATTGAAATCTCCTGCAGGAGCGTCATATGAGGCGACCGCATATATGGGTATTATGTACGAGTTGCTACGGCTCGCACTGCGTTCGTTCTCTGTGCTTCAGAAGGAGTAGGTGCCTCTGATCTATTCCTTATACAGCCATCTTATACAATAATGGAGAGACGATATGCAATCATGTTGTGAATCTCCACGCGCTATTCACGCCATATGCGCTTGCTGTTGCGGTCTATTGAGCACGAATCCGTGTCCCACTCGACCGATATGCTCCTGCGTAAAAACCCTGGTCCCTCTGCATCGGAGGGTAATGCCCCCGGGAAAACGATTTAAGCGTAAGCATCATCCTCACCGTCCGCATCAAGCTCGGCATCCTTTTCTGATGGCGTTCGGCTCGAACGTGTTGCCCCCTGGGCGCGCTCCTCCTCGGAAGCATCGTCCCCCAAAGGGCCGTCCTGCGAGCCAAGCTGGCGAGCCTCTTCGTCCCCTTTGTCCGCTTCAGCATCTTCCTCCGTGGCTTCGGCATGACTCAGCAGCGGGTGAGCTTTATATTTGGCCAACAGCTCCCGCAAATCCGCATCAGGTTCCCTGACGGCGACGTTAATTTGGCTGACCGTCTTCTCTTCGTCAGTCTGGCTTAGAGTGCGAGTGATGTTTTTGGAGCGCTGGGGGCGAATGGTGGTGCGCTGGATGACGGGATAGAAGTACGCCGCTTTCTGTCGGATCACAGTGCCGTCGTCACCTACGAGACTGTTCTCGTCGTCATTGAATGTGAGAATCAGCTCCTCGCTGAACTTGTCCACCGCATCAAATTCTGACTCCTTAACAGTTTCATAGCTCCGCAGGCGGGAAAACGGGAAACACGGGCCCAGCACAGACGAGGTATGAGTGGCCAACTCGGGAGCGTCGCGGTCGGGGTTATCGATGTCAAACGCCACGCGGAAGCGCTCACCAACTTCCTGGGTCTTGGGAACGAAGAAATTGTAATCCAGGAGGTTCAAAGGCTTCGGGAATCTATCGGGTGCGCGGGTATGTGCTTCGACGGCGGCCTGGAAAGCCGCTTCCTCCTCCGCCGTTTTGTCGATAGGCTGAAGGATGGCACTGAGTAGACGGCGGTCGTACGTGGACGAGGAAGGGACAGGGTTGGTCTGCAACTTGACAGTAACGTAGGCACCCGAATCGGGGAGGGCATCCAAATCGGGCAGCAGAGGCCGGGAATCAACAATGCGAATATTTTGCCTCTTGGTCGGATGCGGTAGGGTGCGAGGATCGTTAATGACGCGCAGAGCCTTCTCGAAAGATTTTTCAATCTTGCGTCGGATGGCCGCTGGCGAATCAACGTCCGGCTCGGGAGCCGGTCGCTTCTCGGGCCGCTTGAGCTTCGGCTGAAGGAAGGCCGTCGAGGCAGCAGGGGCGCCGCGCTTATTTGCTACCGACGAGATGTACTCAGTGCGGCGCAGGAAGGAGACGGCTGTGTCGGAGCCCTTCGGCCTGCCTAGTGTCGAGAGAGGGCGGAGCAGAGGCCTATCGTGGGGGTGGAGGTGTGGTTGCGACGTGGATGGTTGGATTGCTGGTCACCTAGTCAGCGCGTCTTTGTCCCGAACCAAGATGGGTAGAAGAAAAGGTCTCGACGACTCACAGCTCTCATCACCATCAAAGATTCCTGGCATTCCCACCAGGTCCAGAGGCATGCCAAGCTCGGCATCAGCCTCGATGTTCAAAGGTTGCTCCCTTGCTAGGCGTGATGCAAAACTTGGGTTGGTGTATTGGCCGCTGGCAAGCCCAGTGTTTCGAATGTCTAGCAGCTTGGGGGGATTGGGTGGTGGAGGGAGGGCGTTGGAGTATCGAATTCTCGCGATAAAATCCTGATGGATCATGCGCTCGCCGCTGCGAGGCACTGAGGAAGACATGGTCGCGATGGATGAGCTTCGGCTCCCTAACCAATCGATAGCTTTTAAATAGCCAGTGGTGCTAACAAAAGACCGCGGCTGGTGAGTTATATGACTATGCTGCCAGCTAACGGAAAGGCGTCGGAGTTGAGGATTATAATGTGCGCTGTTGAGATAGAGGCAATGACAATTGAGGAAAGTTGCAGGAGAGAAAGGCGCGTAACGATCTGACAGAGGATGGAGCTAATGCACAAGGCTGGCCAATGGGTGGCATCGCCTTGTCCTCCAAGGTTCACCTGGTTTGCGTGGAGTACCAAGTATAATGGTAGACTGTCAGTTGGGTCTGCTACTTCTGTATCAGTACCTTTATTTTGAGACGGGGAGCTTGGGGAGTAATTACCGGTTGATGTATCCACGCATGTGCACCTTTCGTAGGAGGTACCTTACCTTCCCTTCAAGTTAGTTGTGTCAAGGATAAACAACACACGATAGCTTATCCCACTCATTTTCTATTAATTAGCAAGCCAAGAAGATGCCACAATAATAGTAAGCATATGGCTATTATTAAGGATACAGCGTATGTATTTAGCTTTCCAGATGTTGCCCCAGGGTGTATTCATTATCAAGAGACCATGTATGCCCTTGGTCCTTTTCCCGTCGTCTCTTATTCATTCCAATGAGTACCCTTGTACTAACCAACCAGGTCCAAAAGAAAGGTGCAAAGCATACAGGCAACAGAAGGGTTCCCAGCCTCCGGGATGCAGGATGCTGGTGATCTCGTACATTCAGCCTCATGGCTATGATATGGCTTTTGATAGAGGGACTCGAGTCACTCGACCCAAGGCAGTACCCTCCAAGTCTCGCAATCGCGCCAGAAGAACGATATCATCACGAGAAAACCCATGTCCTATACCCTGTCCGTCTATTTCCGTGCGTTGAATGTTGATACGTAGGTTAATCGTAACCGCTGTCGCCCGATGATTTGCCCAAAGCTAATGCCCAAGCGAGTGAATCGTGCTCTGCAGCAGTGAAAATCGTGTGCAAATGGTTTCACGAGCTGTTCTTCGCGTAGCTCTTCTTGCCGAAAGTAAAGGGAACGTAGCGATACTTGATCATGTGCTGAATTTGCTTGCGCACTAGGGTATCATGTCAGTGGCTTCTGCCCTGTCTGTATTACTAGTGGTAAGGGGGGGAGGCCATACTGGTGAGGATGAAGAGCATGAACCAGTACATGACGAGAATTGGCCAGAAGACTGGCACGTTGAAAATCTCGAACCAAGAACAGAAGAAGGAGATGACGATGGCGCGTGTGGCCCAGTACCAGAACTTGAACTCGGGCAGGCGGCGGATGAAGGGCTTGAACTCGTCGTCCTGCTTGGTCGGAAGGGCACCCACGGAGCCGTCCTCCATCTCGTTGTCGATGGCATCATTTGAAGGGTCGAACTTGGGTTGCAGGAAGGCGAGGAAGAGGTTTAGGAGGTAGATGCCAAGGGCATACGCCACAATATACCAGCCCTGTGCAAGAAAGATGCGCAGGAAGAAGGTAAGGAGGAACGCGCCGGTGCTGAGCCATCGGTAGAGGACATATGGTGTCGATTGGTCCAGGAGGGCTTGGTAATGCTGGGGCAGGGATGTGTTAGCTGGCTCGTTCCAACGTCCAAGCGACGGCAAAACACATATCTCATAAACATGACAGCGCAAGTTTGCTTACTCTTTGAATTTTGGACCCCTGCGCGCTCACGGCCGCGAAAGGCGAGTCCGGCTCCATGGACTCCATTATGGTCGCACAACTATGAGCGCGTTGAAAAGTAGAGTTTGTGAAGGAAGGAATGGATAAAGGTTCAGTCAATAGAAATAATCTCAGACCACGGCAGTAAGGTTGCGTCGCAGGGATGACGGAAGTCTTGAAAGTATTGCTGCGAGGTTGCTCTGATATCGAGTTCATGGACGACGCCTAAACTGGATTATTAGCCACGTAGGGGGAATGGGGACAGATGCAGCCGGAGTTTAACCACAAGCGCTCCGTACTAAATGTTAGCCACTCTACCTTATAGTGGGGGTTGTGGCTGAGGCCTGGTCTCTATGATTATGTAACCTTGGGTCTGTGCAAGTCGCCTTAACTACGTCAGTCAAAGGCCTATTATGGGGCAGGTCAGATGACCTGCCCTAGAGCAGCCCACTATAACCTAAACTCCTCCGCCTATAGCTAGCTTAAGGGATCTTGGGAAAATTAAGTATCACTGTACTAAGGGTTTTGCAGCGCTATTTAAATAGTGGTTAGTATAAGGGAACCAGCTATTTCACTTTAGCTAGGCTTATTCTATCTTTATTCGTTTACCCTTTATCTTAACGAACTCTTTACCGACTATTTATTCCTATTTCCCTTCGCTATAGAACTTAGTAGATATCTGCTGGGTTCGTACCCGTTTTCTTAACCGACTAAAAGGCACTATTTTCGACTTATGAGTTTTATGAGGCGCGTCTTATAGCGCCGATAAGAAAAGAGATATTCTTTCTAGATAGGCTGAATCCTCCCGACTATTCCTACGGCTATAAATAAGAGAAATTTTCACTAAGTCGCGTTTTCGGAGTTACGACCGTCTGCATAAAAATAACTTAGGGAGATCGGTGACGGCACTACTCCCTAAGAGGAGAAGAATACCTAGAGTATTACTAGAGCTAATTACTAGAGCCGCTAAGCCGGGTATATTTATATTTGTATCGAGGTTATATTAAGGCGATATCGCCTTATTATTAAGAAAAGAAATTATCTCCCCGCTTAGAGCTGCCTTTCTAGTTTTTAGCCTAAAAGCTAGAAGTTCCTTTAGGCAATACGGCGGCATCTGGGTGTGAACTGCCGGCTAAACTTTATAATATTGGCTATAACTTCCCGTGGTTAGAATTTCGGCTATAGTACTTCCTTCTCCTTAATAGGTATAATAATAATAGTAAACTAGCGACTTCGCTAGTATATATTAATAGGATAAACGTTACTCCCTGGCTATAAAGAGCCGGGGAAAGATATAACGACTAGATAAAGTCGTTTAGAAGCTATTAAGGGCTAATAACGTATTTAGTTAAGAGCTGGATAAATATATTTTCCCCGATAGTCGATATAAAATCTCTTCTATTACTTTTTTCTCCTTTTAATCTTTAATAGAGTTTTATTTTACGACTTCGTGGAATTTAAATACTGGCTTCATAAAAATATTATAAGTCTCCTTTTATTTAGTTAATATCGGCTATAATTCCTTATTTATTCTCACTTCTTAGCCCCTCTTATTTTCCCGCTACTTATATTAAAGGGATAAGACGACTCGTCTGCGTCTAAAATTCCCCGTTTAAGTTCACCCGATAAGTTAAAGAGACCTGCTATTACTCCCGTAAATATTATTTCTAAATTCTTATTTATCACTAAGCCTTCTTTTACCTAAAGATAACCCTCTCCCTATTTATCCGCTTTATCGGAAATAGTTTTCGTAGCGACTTTTCTAGCTATAGCCCCTACTTTATATATAAACTTTTCTTCTTTTAACTCCTTCGATATAACTAGTTAGGTAGGATAGGCTACCGGAGCCGTGTCTAAATTCACGGGCACGGGTATAGCCTATCTAACCACGGAATTTCTAAGCGATATTAAAAATATCGTCGATATACTTTTAGATAGGATCTCTCCGGAGGCTAAGGAGAGGTAGAAACTCCGGTTAATACGTACTAATTTAGCCGGACGCGCCCGGGCGTGGTGGTAAATACTAGATGTAGATACCCATAATAGTTAGGAGAAAACTAAGATAAAGTTCTAAGCTAAGTTTAAGGATAAGACGAGCTAGCGAGACGGCTAAGCGATCGTGGAAGTTTCTATATTCTAATAAAAGACTAAAGAGTAGCTCGTCGACGACCTTAAAAGAGCGTCTAAGTTAAATATAAAGCCTATATCTCCAGAGATACGCCTTTTTCTCGTTTAACGCTTATACGAGTATATAGTTAACGGTAAGATTAACTCCTATCTACGCGAACGCGTCGAGGACCGGCTTATAGCTTTTAGTAAGACGGTCTACGGAGTTCTTAATAAGTCTATTATATTTGAAGATATTAAATACACTATTATTTAGGTAGTAAAAGGTATATACGATATATCCGACCTTTTAGATAATAACGATAGTGCGAATAATATCGGTATAGTAGAGGCCCTAAAAGGCCTTAGTAAGTTTAGTAAGTTCTATAAGAAGTGGATAAACGCAGTCGTTTATAAGCTAGCGGATCTTAGTATCCGTCCGGCGTAAGGTCGCCTATACGATCCTAACGCTCTATCTTCTTCTACTAATCCTTATCCTAAGACTCTTTTTTTATACCCCTTTAATATAAAGAGGGTTTTCTGCTTTAGCTACGGCGGTTAGGGATATATTTTTTGGGATTACCCGGCGAGGGGCTTTAGGGAGTAATAATAGTAGCGTAGAGAGACCTAGGAAGTATAAAAAGACGAGATACTTATAGCGCGAGATCGCGAATTACGGGAAAAGAGATCACGGGCAGCTAATAATAAAAATATATAGTCTAAGTAGTAAAAGGAGGTACTAGTGTATCTTATCCTTCGAAATATTAACCGTATATACGAGGAACTCGAGGAGATTAAGGATACCGCTAACGACTTCGCCGGTAGGCGCTGCTATGCTATTTCGTCGGATAAGTTTAGTAAAATCCCCCCTATAAATTTTATCTTAAGATCCTGTACGCTAGTATAGAAGATAGATAATACTTAGCCGGATTCGATTATTTTAACTTTGTAATAATTATATAAACTATAGCAGAAGTTCCCTGATATTAAGTATACTGATTTTTAGGATATTCCCGCCTCTGAGAGGTAACGAGATATTAACCCTAAACCTCTGGATATATATTAAGACCCTCGCGCTAAGCCGATTAGAGCGCCTCCGCCCTATCCCTGGAATAATACTATAGTTCCCTAAAAGATTACTCCCGCCTGCGGAAGTAGATACTATCCTCCCGCACCTATAGCTATCGACGAGAGTAAGGAACCTACTCTCTACACCCTAACTCCGCCGGCGCCGGAGCCTCCTTATACTCCTTCGCGGGAGGAGATAGGTATAGGCAGGGTATATAAAAATAATGCTTTATTCCGCGGACTTAAGCTAATTCGAGGAATAAAACTTTCTAGTATTTAGCCGTTCTCTATAATAGACTTTATAAGTAAATAGGATATTTCTATATTACTAATATAACTTTTTTAACTTTCCCCCCTTATATGAGCGGAACTTTACTATATTATCTAGGCCTAAGTTTCGGATAGGGATAGTAGAGGTGATATAAACCGCGCTCGCACGACTAAGAAAAAATAGTAGGTCACTAATATTATATAAGCTCTAAATACTCTAACCTTATAGCTACGAGGCAGGGTGAATTACGCGGCTTTATACCCGACTAACGGTAATAGGGAGGGCGACTTCGCCCGCCCTTATAAAGATAAAGCCTTTAGGTTAGATATATATATACTAAACACTCTAGGCTATATCTTCGCTTAAGTGAAATACACTTATTCCAATATAAGACTGCTAGACTCTAGGTCTATAATAGAGGCTATTAGTCGAACCTTTATTAATAATAATAAATTTCCTATTTATAAACTCGAGATACTTTATATAGTGCGTCTCGCCGATAATAAGATCCTCCCGGTTACTGACTTCTATCTCCTACGACTTATGGTTAGCGGTGTTTTAAGTATCATCTAAGCGTTTATCCTAGGCGATACTAACGAATAGTATATCCTTTTAGGTAAATAATAGCACTATAATAAGTAGTGGTTAACCACCGTAAGGAAAGCCTTACCGTCAAAGGAGTTAGAGGATATATCTAGAGAGTTCTAATATACCCTAGCCTAAAATACTACTTCGTTAAACTGGAACGGGCTTCTAAAAAGGTCTCTCCTGGAGAGGACGACGTGGACTCTAATACCTCGGGAGATAAATAGAATAATAAAATCCTTAAGAGACTCGAGAGGATATTAGCGGCGGGTTATAGGAAGCTTAGGGGCGAAGACTAGACTATATATCCGGATTCGCGAGGCGTATTCCCGATATTATCTTCTTCTCTTTTTTTATATACAAGGTCGGCAGGTTTTACGTATATAACGGGCAGGTACGAGACGGTTTATAGTAGAAGTAAATAGTAACCCGTACTTACTTACTTTTTTTTTCTCCTACTATATAGTTAGGTACGATAGATAGGATATACCTTCCTGGCTAGGGTTTATTTTGACTTATATATCGTTAGATAACTCCACGACTTCTGGAGTTCGGGGAGGATTTCTTCTTTTTCCTTTAGGTAATTATTATTATTGCTAGAAGAACCAGTTTAGTATAAGAAAAAGAGAAGATTATTATTATTTTTATTTCGTTTACGATTTTTTCGTAATAAGCTTAATTATTTCTTTTATTCTTTTTACTTTTCTTATACTCTATAGTCGATACTCTATCCGCTACTATAGCGGAAGACGTTATTTCTTTAGCCACAGCGAATCCTCCCGACGCGTCGCCGTCGATAGAAGATCCCTACTCCCTCTCTGACTTAGTGAATTTTCTGAATACCTGGGTTAATAAACTTCGTATAACACAGAATCCTTATAACTTATATTCCGTCCGATAAGCCTTCGACGGAGAGGAGACTTCTCCTTCTCTAACCTCTACCGATAATAGCCCTATTTTTCGACTAATATAGAGTTAAGCTACGAGACGATAAGCTATTATATAAGGGCACGCCTAGGTACCGGGAAGTAGCGTCGTGAAAGAGTAAGATATATCGGAATATCTACCACTATTTTCCTTATAGAAGCTATATATAGCGGTGGTGGAGGGAAGACTTAGCCTGGACGGGGCGGTAAGATATCGTAAGGGTTTCCGGATAGCTTTTAAATCCGTGGCGGACGATAAGACGCTAGATAATCCGTAGGAAAAGGAGGAATATAACCTATACACGTTAGAGTAGTGGGGAGATATACTATTACCTGTAGTATTATTAAGTATTCCGGGACTATCGTCTTAATATCACTACGCGAATTTAGCGTCCCCCTCCTAAGAATTACTTTATATAGGATTTTCGAAAATTAAGGGGACCCCCTACCGTTTCGATTTTCTCTATATATTTCGCGATTTAGCCTTTATTCCCTTATCCGAAGTTAAGCGCTAGTTTAAAACCTCGAATATCGATATCGGTTCTATAGCCGATACTTCTAAAAAAAAGGACTTAGTAAAAATCCTCCTATACACCTATAGGGATATCTTCGCTATAACGCTTCAGGATATTAAAATTACTTCCCGGATAATATACCGCGTTATACTGAAACCGGACACTTAACCTCCTTTAAAGTGGCGTTAATAGCGATACGGACACCGATAGCGAGAATTCGCTAAGCGTGCTATACCTAAAATAGAGCGAGCCGGTATCCTTATTAAGGCGTTTTTAGTACCTTAGGTGGCCCCGATACTTTACCCACCTAAACTAGGTTATAAATAAAGCCTAGAGAGAAAGAAGTCCTACGAGTGGTTCACGATTTCCGGATTATTAACGCTGTTTCTAAGAGACCTACTTACCTATATTATAACCTGGAGATAGATATTAATTCCGTGTAGCAGGGCTATCCTATAGTATACTCTAGCTACGACGCCTTTAACGGGTTTTAGGGTATCTAACTCGACCCGGCTTCGCGGGATCTATTTATAGTAATAGGGCCTAACGGTGCTTAGTATTATACCCGAATGCCCTAAGGTCTTTTAGGCTCTCCTAGTATATATGCCCGTTTCGGTAACCTTATCTTTATAGACTTTTTCGACGATAGAAATAGTATACTGGATTAGAATATCCACGATCCTTCTATCCTAAGATATATATGCGAGCTAGAGATAAGCCTTTTTATCTATATCGATAATTATAATATGAGCAGTACTAATTTCTTTTAGTACTTCCTTTACCTCTGGATCTACTACTTTCCTAAAGTTATTTAGGGACTTATCGGACTCTCCACGAAGAAATATCACTTTTTTCTCGACTACCTGGATCCGGTAGGCACGTATATATATAATAGACGTATTCGACCCGGATATAAATATCGCGATAAGTTTTTAGACTTTGCACGAAGATTCTTATAGGCGCTTCTAACCTCCTAGAAGGAGATATAGCCCCTCCTATAGTGCACGCCACCTTTTAGGAAATTTATCCTAGGTCGGGCGGGACTAAAGGATATTATTAAGAAAGCCTTTTAGGAGTATATCCTTACTATAACTCTATTAGGTAAGCCGAGTATTGGAAGGCAGTATATCCGTCGATAAATACTAGTATAGGGACCGGAGTAGGCTAAGGCTCTCCGGAAACTCTACGAAGAGATATAGGGTAGGGTGATATTCGGAGTAGTAGATAGAGTATAGTTTTATATCTCCGCTAACGCCTCCGATTATAGCTTAGGCGCAGTACTACTACAACTAGACGGCAATTAGTTCCCCGCGGGTATATAGATTACTATTAAGAACTAGAGCTCCGTTAAAGCGATTTAGTTTATATTCTTTAGGCTTACGGAAGCTAAACGTCGCTATACTATACCGGAAAAAGAGACCCTCGCCGTCCTGCGGGCGTTATAGAAAATATAGTGGCTTACACTATTAAGCCCTTACCCCGTTATAGTCTATATAGATTACCTTAGTCTTGTATAGTCTATAAATAAATTTACGGAAATATATAGTAAGCTTTTTAAGTGGTTAGAGAAGCTTATAGAGTTTGATTATATCTATATATATCGTTTAAATACGTAGAAGATTATTAAAGTCGTAGACGGCCTTAGCCGTATACCCGTGAGGGTTTAGGACGACCTAAGACCGCTTTAGCGGCGCTAAGCGCTAGAATACTCTTTTAAAGAGGGCCGACTTACCGTTATTACTCCGGATAGGCTTATATTAACTTCGACTAGGCCGACTTAGGACGAGTCGAGCTTTAAATTAGGTAGAGAAGAGATATAGCTTAGCGATCGGAGTGGTATTTCGGTTACTAGTATAGCTATACTAGAGGATTTACGGAAGCGGTTAGTTCCCCTTCGGGTCACGGTAAGGCTTACGGATATCTTATAGGAAATAAGGTAAGATTTACTACGATAACTCCTCGGGATATAGGGTTTAGGTGAGTAGTACGGGTAGGTTATACGCTGCATTATTTTAGGTCCAGATAGTTTTACTAAGGAGAATAAGCGTTAGCGTCGCGCGATTATATATATTAGCAATATATATTACGTCTACGGTATTTATCTGTATAAGGTAGAGTTAGATGATTCGTTAGTACGTTATATCTCCCGATAGGACGTGGTAAAAATCCTAAGGTGTTTTTATAACGATAACGGGTATTATAGTATCAAGATTATATTAGCGAACGTAAAGGGTAGATACTACTAGCCTAATAGGGTGAAAGATCTAATAACCTACGTTCGCTCTTATAAAGTATATTAGTAAATATCGCCTTAACTACCGAAACTTCCGCCAGGACGCGTTATAGTCTCTTATCCTTTCGAGTTAGTGGGTATAGATTTTATAGGATTAATCTTAGCGCCCTCCTAAGATAGAGATCGGTATATTTTAGTACTAATTTACTATATAATACGTTTTATCCTATTATTCCCGATAGCGGTGGCGGATACAGTATTAGTTTATAATAAGCTATATACTAGGATAGCAGTAATTTTCGGTTAGCCTAAGTTCTTTTACTGCGATAACGGATCCTACTTTAAGAATATTATATTAGAGGCTATTACCCGTTTTCACGGCTTAATAATGATTTTCGGGCTAGTTTTATACCCGAACTTAATAGGTCTGCTAGAAAGCGTAGTTAAGTTAGTGAAAGTATAGCTATAAAAGTACGCTATATCGCGTTCGCCTAACGGGAAGGTAAGGGGAGACGTTTCCCGATAGTATTTAGAGGTGCTAAATATTATGTAAAGATTAAATACTAGGTACGTGACGGTGATCGGTATTTTACTAGCGAGGGCTATATTCGGTTTTAGTCCCTCCTATAGCGATAACGCTATAGTGGAGAATAAGGACTTAGAGTAGGCTTAAGAGTACCGCGATAAAGGGACGGATACCTTATATACGACTCTACGATAATACTTCCCGACCGAATAGGGGAAACTTTTTCGCGTTATCGAGCTAGAGGAATACTTAGAGGTATTATTAGACTTAGACGGGTTTTATCACTTTACGTCCCTTAATATACTAATAAAGGATTAAGAGGAATATCGACTTCGACGTAATCGGTTTAATATTAGGATAATAAATAAGGATAAAATACCTCTACTATAAGTCGCGCGGAGAATATACCCTAGTATACTTATATAGGAGCTAGTAGATAAGTTAGGTAAGTCGACTTTAAAGTTTAACCCGACTTAAGTCGGTCCGTATAGGCTATTAGAAGCGGCTTCTCCGGTATTTTAGTAGACTACGATATAGTTAGAGTATCCGCTACACTAAGTTAAGAAAGAAGACTATAGAAAGATATATATTGATTACCTTAAGCCTGTTATAGAGAGACTATACTATTTACGGGATAGAGACGTTATAGCGGCTAGTGCTTAGGGGAAGAGAATATCGGTTAGGACGTAGGTTAACGGGGTTCGGATAATTAATTTACGAGCAGCCCCGTTATATTATATACGTATACTAGAAGAGGAGGATATCGGTAATGGTTTTTAAGGGTATCATGATAGCAGGATTCAGGGTTTATAGAGGTTTTACAGGGTAGTTTTACAGGTTCTGTTAAGTTATTCAGGTTAGGGACGAGCTGCTATCGAGTTAGGCAGGTTATAGGGCAGGTCATCTGACCTGCCCTAGAGCAGCCCACTATAACCTAAACTCCTCCGCCTATAGCTAGCTCGAGGGATCTTAGGAAAATCAAGCATCACTTTACCGAGGGTTTTGCAGCGCTATTCACTATACGTATCCAGAGAGGTACCCGCGCATGTCAGTAGGCGTATTATTTTGGGATACATGGATGTCATTATCCCGAGTATCCTCGGTATTGAGCCGATGCTTTCCATGCATCTCCATGACCAGAAAGCTTGATCTGAACTATTACCTTTTCTGCAATTGGACTTGTACTCCACAGATACGAGACCATCGATCGAAGCAAAGATTTCGTTCGACCCCAATTGATCGCTATCCCACTGTATTCTGGTCTTTCCATTCGTGTCTTGTCACATTTCATAACGATAGCTGTCGCTTGATCTTCCTGCCACCCGACCACGTCGACCTTCGAAACGTCATTCGGGCTCTTGTTAAAGAGAACTCAACATGAATACCCTAAGATACATGAGACCGGTCGCCTCGCGCCTGCAGGCGTCGACTATTCCCAGAATGGCAAGATGCTACTCGAGCAACTCTTACGAGTATATCCAGGTGTCGCAGCCGAAGCCGGGCGTAGGGCAAGGTGAGCCAAACGCACAAGCCGCATAGGCTAGCAACAGAGAAGATGAGAAGGGACCACTTGGCGTGGGTTGTTGAGACCGGTACTAACCCGCCCTTCCGTAGTGACGCTGAACCGACCCAAGGCGCTCAATGCTTTGTGCACACCTCTGATTAACGAGCTGAACACGGCTCTCAAGGCGTTCAACCAGTCGGACGACACGACAGTGATCGTGTTGACGGGGTCGCAGAGGGCGTTCGCGGCGGGAGCGGACATCAAGGAGATGGCTCCTCTGACCTTCTCGGAAGCGTACACGAAGTCCTTCATCGAATCGTGGTCTCTCCTGACGACGGAGATCAAGAAGCCCATCATCGCCGCGGTGTCTGGGCACGCCCTGGGTGGGGGTTGCGAGCTGGCCATGATGTGCGATCTCATCTACTGCACGGAGGGGGCCAATTTCGGCCAGCCGGAGATCAAGCTGGGCACGATTCCGGGTGCTGGTGGTAGCCAGAGGCTGACCAGGGCGATCGGCAAGTCCAAGGCGATGGAGCTCATCCTGACGGGCAAGTCCTTCACGGGAAGCGAGGCGGCGCAGTGGGGAGTGGCGGCGCGTGCGTTCCCGACGTACGAGGCGCTCATGGAAGAGACGCTGAAGACGGCCGAGACGATCGCCGGATATTCGAGGGTGGCTGTCAATGCCTGCAAGGAGGTCGTCAACAAGAGCCAGGACCTACCTCTCCGGGAAGGCGTCGAGTTTGAAAGGAGAGTGTTCCACAGCCTGTTCGGGAGCAACGATCAGAAGGTGGGCATGAAGGCGTTTGCCGAGAAGAAGAAGCCGGAATGGACCCATTCGTGAAGAAGAAACCGAACGTCACTATTTATTGAGAGGGATAGATAGGGAGATATTTCACATCGAGTTGACGTGACGTCTAGGTTGTCTTTCAATTTACAGAAGCAAGCCCTGCGTGGCCGATTACCGTGCTGTGGATATAGTTGTGGTCAGAAAATGTGTACGGACTTGGATGAAGATGATCATCGTATAAGGTTTCTAGAAGAGGAAACCAATGTAGGTAGGTGAGGAGTTTGACCAGGAGTGCAGTGCATGCCCTGAGATGATATTCTGCTTTCCCCCGGAACTGAACGGCGCATTCACATGTTGCAGCAGGCAAGAATGGTTTATTACCAAAGAACGTCCTTTCCTTTTCATTCACCTGCTCTTGTCCGGAGTAGGGAAATGGCAGGGTCAACGATTAGGTGGTACCGTGGTCCAGAGAAGCACTTGCACTGTACAGAGTACGGGCACAGTACAGTGGGGGTGTAATTATAATTACCTTACCGTTCTACACACAGTTTCGTAGGTCGCAACCGCCCAAGCTGCCCCTTCCTTTCTCTGTCCTTCAAGGAACCCATAGAAGGCGGTGTATTGACTTTGGCCCCTCGCCCTTCCCCCCACCTCCCCCGGGGTCGTGCCTGCCTAAAATGCGAGGTGCAAGTTGTTGATAGGTAAGAGGCTGGTCTCGTGGTCATTGTCATTCGTGTCTGCGATTTTATTTTCCCAATTTCCCACCTTCAAACAAATTTATACCGACGGGAGTCCCCGAGTCTCCGTTTCCCAGCCTTACCACTCCGCACTCGTTATCCCTCGACTTCGACCAACGGTTTTCAGCCCGCCACACCGGCACCAACTGATAACTGGGCGTCGGCTATTGGAGGATGCCGTATTCCCCTTTGCACTGGTGACCGTCTGATGGATGATCATGGAATGTCGCGCATTCGTTTACCCTTCTGTGGTTCCCTCCCGCCTCAATCTTATGCCATTTTCTAGAGGCATTTGTTCTATCAACTGAATATTCTTCGTTCATTTATTACTTATTTATTACTTTTATTTTGAGGATATAGGGTCCAAACAAATCTTTTGGTTCGCGCAAAGTGGACGGTCCTGTACTCTATATGACATGGATACTTTGAGACCGACCATGGATCTCGAAAAGGAGTTGACCTGCTCTGTACGTCTGCAACGTCGGGCTTACCATCCTCTGGCAACTGCGTGCCCCTTTGCTTCGAGTTACAGAAACAGGCTAACGTCTGAGGGGAATGTAGATTTGCACGGAACTCCTCTTTCAACCTCTAACGCTGCTCGACTGCCTCCACACCTACTGCGGTGCGTGTCTGAAAGACTGGTTCGCATTCCAAGAAATCCAAGCCCAACACGACGCCGGTACTCCTACGTTCACATGCCCCTCATGCCGCGCCCTCGTTCGGGACACCAGGCACAATGCTACTGTGACGACTCTGTTGGACATGTTTGTCTCTGCAAACCCGGAGAAAGATCGACCATCGGCTGAAAAGGAGGAGCTCATGGCCAGATACAAGCGCGGCGACCAAATTTTGCCCAGACACCCAGGCTCTAATGTGACACCAGAGACCAGGCGCTTCGAAGAGGAAGACCGGATGCTGGTCGACTCGGTGCGCGAGATGAGCCTGAGGGAAGCGCAAGGCAGCGCCCCGCTCTCATCTCCCGCACCGAGACGCCGGAGGCGCAGCGACAGCAGGTCGAGCGAGGGACGTGAGAGAGGGAGTCGTGATCCGAGCGGGGAAAGTGCCCGAAGCCAGCGTCATGACGGGGCGAGTGGCGTGAGTAGACGCCATGGTGAGGACACCCGCTACCACGGTGATCAGCTGCATCCACAGCCAACCCAGACAGGAGATCATCGACGGCGGAGACGAAGCGAGTCCAGGAGACGACGGGATAACATGTCGGACGCGCGTCACCGGCAGATCGAGCACCAGTCGTCCTTGCGCTCCCTCATCAGTTCGGATGACCTTAATGAGCGAGACATCGAACGGGAGATCGAGGAGTTTGCGAGGCAGATCCAGGAAGAAGGATTACTCGACGGGTTGGACCTAGACAACATTGACCTTAGCAGGAACGACGACTTGAGTCGCAAGATCACCGAGGCCTATCGCAGGAGGCAACGCGAGCGAGAGCGAGAACGGCCGAGGGCTACAGAGTCGAACAGGAGGAATGATAACAGCAACGCAAGTCGGAACAATAACACCACATCACGTCTCACTACTGAGCCAGTCCAGGAGGCGGTACGCCCCGTAGCATCAGGCGCGACCGCGTCAGCAGGAGAAGCCGATACATCGTCGCCACCGGTACTGGGACCAGCACCAGCACCAGCACCAGCACCAGCACCGGCATCTGCCTCCTTATTGTCTGAGAACGGACGTCCACACGACAGGCGCAGTCCACACGCCCGGTCAGTAAGTGCCACTAATATTACGGAGGAAAGCAGCCGACCACCATCTGCACTCAGTGCAGCTCACCCAGACATGCGGACTGGCCGACGACGAGGAAGGAGCTCGAGTGGCGGTCGGCCCTCGGCCATACCCGTCCCCGGTACGCAGTCAGATCTGAGTTTGGCCACTCGCCCACGGACCGACTTGGACCCTCGGACGCAGAGTCAAGATAGCCTTCCTGCTCCCCGGGCAGCATCCAGTGATGGACGAAGCTGCTCCAGTACAACTCCGATGGCTATCACCCTCACCGCGCCGTCCACCACGTCCACCCCCACGTCGCGCGATCAGTCGTTTGCCAGCCGGCTCCCGGATCCCACGAGCCTGGTCTCGGCCAACTTTGCGCCAGCGCCGGGCCCTCTGAACCGTGCCAATCGACCGGTTGACCTGACCGTTCTCAGCCAGGCTACGTCGATGCCAGTGTCGTCCGGGAATCCGGCGTCGGCGTCGGCGTCGGCCAGCCAGCAGCGCGCTCGCACACAGCTCTACCCCGAGCCGTCGATCACCTGTTCGCGTTGTTCGAAACAGCATATCGAGTATGAAGTCCATTACAACTGCTTCACCTGCGCCAGCGGGAACTGGAACCTGTGTCTGGACTGCTACCGAGCCGGCAAAGGGTGTCTACACTGGTTTGGCCACGGCTACGGCGCCTATGCCAAGTGGGACAAGGCTCGCCAGGCTGCTGGCCGCGAGGATCTGCCCCGGCCGCACGTGCTCACGGCCAACCGCTATCTGCCTCTCAAGAGCACGCCCGGCGGTGCCGATGGCCGGCGAACCCTGACCACGGATGATCCTGTCAAGCGGCTCGAGAGCGGCTACTTCTGCACGCGCTGCCTGGCGTGGGCCAACGAGTGTTACTGGCGGTGCAACCTGTGTAATCAGGGCGACTGGGGTTTCTGCAACGATTGCGTCAACCAAGGCAACTCGTGCACCCACCCCTTGCTCCCGCTCATGTACGAGCCACCTGCATCACACACCCCGCCACCCAGCCCACGATCCCGGCCGCCACCACAGGCCGCCAGCGTCCTGACGGGACCCAACGTCTGGAGCGTCGGGCCGTTCAAGCCGCTCACGTTCACGACGCGCTGCGACGTCTGCCAGGAACCGATTCGGCCGAGGGACGCGCGCTTTCACTGCTTCCACTGCGCGAGCTCGATCGAGCCCGACACCAACCCCGGGGACTATGACGTCTGCAAAGGGTGTTACGGCGCCCTTGTCGCGCGCGGCCAGGTCAGCGAGGAGAATGGGATGGCCGGGTGGCGCAGGTGTCCCCAACGAGGGCATCGCATGGTCGTGGTGGAGTTCCGGGACGGACCTGGAGGGCAGTTCCGCCACGTAGTGGCTGATGTCGTGGGCGGGCGCAGACTAGCAGTTGCGCCCGCGGACACTGAAGGGCTGCAGAAGTGGTCCTGGTTCGAGGGCGACAGGAAGGTAGAGAGACTGGTGACCTTGGATGTGGCTGCTTCGACGCCCAAGCCAACCAACTCCAACGCCGCGGCCAACACCAATGCCGGGCCAGACAGCGACAGGGCAGGCGACGATCCTACAGCGGCGGCGTTGTCGGTAGAGATGTTCCCGCCGGATGGAGGTACGGGCATGTCGGCTATGGCAACATGGTCCTGGTATCCCAAAGCCGACGACGAGCTACTGTTTCCTAAGGGGGCAGAAGTGAGAGAGGTTGAGGATGTGAACGGAGAATGGTTCTTTGGCGTATATATGGGGGCAAAGGGACTCTTTCCTAGCCCGTATGTTCAGCTTTTGGACGGGACAGCGGGGACAGCGGGGACACAGAGCGCAGCATGATAAATCATAGTGCCGCTGATAGACGGCTCAAGGGTCTGAGCGTTGGCTGATGAAGTTATGATGGAACTTACCGAGCGCGAACACAAGCACATGATGAATCTAAGATGGACAAGAAGCGGCGTTTAATGGATATAATGAGTAGAGATTATATACTTGACTGCCCAAAGTAAGGTAGCTTAGGTAGCTGACACAGCAATCATGGTCTTCTAGGTGATTAATTAGTATCCATCCTCCTAGAGATCTCTCTGTAATACTGTATCTTCAGTTCAGTTGATCTGAGTATCCGTATGTACCTATGTACGTACCTGCTCGGAAGGGGACGGACAGAGAGCCCCACAACCCCACAGCCCCACAATAGCGGGACAGGGAACGTCTCCAGGTCTCCGAAAGTCGGGGATTCGATCTTCGCTCTCGGACTTTTGACACGAGAGCTTCTCGAATTGGTCGTCAACTTCAGAAAGAAACATTGACCGCACGTCGCGTGCTTGACTTACTACCTCGCTGTGCGCTCAATTCGACATTTTACGACCATGTCATTTCGTCACAGCATTTGTCGTTTTGCGACGGCCGCTACTCCGCCTGCCGCCCCGAGCCCGTACCTCGTGAATCTGGCGAAGGCCCAAGGCGTTGTCAAGGGATTGACAGGCGGTAAGCCCTCCTCCTCCTCCTCTTTCTGTTCTTCTTCTTCTTCTCCTTATTCTTGTTGTTGTTTCAAAATATTTGTCAGAATACTTACTTTTTTCCCCTGCCAGCCATCGGGAATACACCACTCATCCGTCTCAACCGTCTTTCCGAACAGACGGGCTGCGAAATCCTGGGCAAAGCCGAGTTCATGAACCCAGGCGGTAGCGTCAAGGACCGTGCCGCCCTATACGTTGTCAAGGACGCCGAGGAGCGCGGCCTCCTCCGGCCAGGCGGCACCGTGGTCGAGGGCACGGCCGGAAACACCGGCATCGGCCTCGCCCACGTCTGCAGGTCGCGCGGCTACAAGCTCGTCATCTACATGCCCAACACGCAGTCCCAGGGCAAAATCGACCTGCTCCGCCTCCTCGGCGCCGAGGTGTACCCGGTCCCCGCCGTGGCGTTCGAGAAACCGGACAACTACAACCACCAGGCGCGCCGCCACGCCGAGTCGCTGGACAACGCCGTGTGGACCAACCAGTTCGACAACGTCGCCAACCGCCGCGCCCACATCGAGACCACCGGCCCGGAGATCTGGAACCAGACCGCCGGCCGCGTCGACGCCTTCACCTGCGCCACCGGCACCGCCGGCACCCTGGCCGGCGTCACCCGCTACCTCAAGGACGTCAGCGGGGGCCGCGTCAAGAGCTTCCTCGCCGACCCGCCCGGCAGCGTCCTGCACAGCTACATCCAGTCGGGTGGGAAGCTGGTCGAGCGCACTGGGTCTAGCATCACCGAGGGTATCGGCCAGGGCCGCGTCACCGAGAACCTCAAGCCCGATATCGGCCTCGTCGACGGCTCCCTCCACATCTCCGACGAGAAGAGCATCGAGATGGTGTACCGCTGTCTGGACGAGGAGGGCTTGTACCTGGGCGCCAGCTCCAGCTTGAACGTTGTGGCGGCCAAGGAGGTCGCCGAGAAGCTCGGCCGCGGGCACACCGTCGTGACTATTTTATGTGATGGTGCCTATCGCTACGCCGATAGGTTGTTTTCCAAGAAATGGCTCGAATCGAAGAATCTTCTTGGCGCGATACCCAAGCATTTGGAGAAGTTTATTGTCCTGCCATAGGCTCTGGGAGGGGGGGGAGGTGGGTGCAAGAGTCGTTTCTGCTTCCTCTCCTCGGTATTTTTGTTGGGGATTTTGTTTTGTCTGTATAGGTACATATATCTAGGTTCTACTTGTACAATTTTTTCCTCTTCTTCCAACGCCAAGATTAAGGTGGGAGCTGCTGTTGGGGGTGTTGGGATATCCAACCCCCTTGGCCTGCCATATTTCATCCAGGCAACGATCATGGCCTGCTCCTTTGGTCCAGGAGGATGAAGGCTTTCTTTCCTTCTTTTCTTTCCTCTTTCCTCTTTCCTCTTCTTTGTCGCCCCTTGTTCATGCCTCGCTCGCAGTCTCTCCTCCCTCCTTCGACGGGGCCACACTGACCTCCAACTTCAACGCTCCTGTGCTGTCGAATTGCTTGCTGTACACTTGTGCCGGCAGACCGTCCCCGTGCAGCTCTGCCATTTGCTCGAGTCGCCCAGCCAGCTCCGGCTCAACGGCTCTGACGATCCCCTGTAGCTTTTCCGCCAGCGCGGGTTCTACCACTTGTGTTGCCAGCTTCAGGCCGTGCAGAACCATGGCAACCTTGGCAACGTAGTCTCCTCCCACCTTGAGGAAGCCTACACCTCCGTTCTTGGCATCTTCGTAGGCTGCCTCGGGATACAGAGCCACCACTCCCTTGCCCTCCGGCCATACGCCCACGACCTGCTTGGCCCAGGCCGCGACCTGGCCGTCCACGTCCTGCCCGCCATGGTGGCCCACCGCCAGTGCGGCCGCAAGGTGCAGCGGCGCCGCCAGGGCCAACGGATCTCGGGCCAGAGGCCAAACGAGCCAGGCCGGGCGGCGGCTCTCCGCCATCTCGTGACGGGGATCGGCCACCATGTCGAGCACGATGACGGACCACCGCAGGGCCTGCTCGAGCTCCTCCTTCGCCCACCCGGCCTCGAGCGCCTTGAGCTGGGCGAAGAAGAGTACCTCGTGCAGCTTGGCCGGCACGTCAAGCGCCAGGCCCGTGCGGCGGATCTGCCTGGCGGCGTCGATGATGGCGTAGATGTGGCGCTTCGTGCCGACCTGGCGGATGATCTTGACCCAGTTCGGGGTGGACAGGTGGATGTGAGCGCGCCGCAGCCCGGCGAAGAGGCGGATGAAGTTGGACCAGTCCCGGGCCGTCTCCATCTTCTGCAGCGCGCTGTAGACGCAGGCCCGCGTCGACGGCCGGGCCTCGAGGGGGATGTGCTCGAAGCGGTGGGCTAGGCCGTCGATTTCGATGATGACCGGGTTGGTCTTGAGCGAGTGGCGGAACTTGGGGTTGAAGACGCGCTGACGCTGGTGCCGGGGGAGATAGGAAGGGAGGACAATCTTGTTCTGGATCTCCGTGAGGACGGGGGCGAGATTCGGGTTGACCTCGGCGTCGAAGATAACGTGCGGGTCTATATGGAATCACGGTTTGTCAGAAGCAGAGACCAACAAAGAGCCATCACATATATGCTCATGAGGGCCGGCAAAACCGCTGAATGCGGCCATCAGGACTTACTCTGCTGTTGCTCTGTCGACGCCTGGGCCTGGGACACGCTTCGCCGTTGGATCGCGACAGGCATTGACGGCCGGATAGGCACTCTTGCCATGAGAGACTTCCTCAAAATAGTGCGCTCCATCTTGCCCTATGCACCTCAGCTGCTTCTGGTCCTTCTGGTCAAGGACAATGTGAAGAGCGAGAACGGGTTGTGTTTGGTCTCCTCCAAAATTCACCACGCCCAGAAAAGCAAAAAAGTACGGATAGACCGTAGGGAGCGCAAGTACGAAGTATAAGGTACCGAGACATGGTGCGAAATGTACTCCGTAACTGTCCAGTAATATACACTGTGTGCTCACCATACAAGCACCTACTTTTTACTTTTGGCGAAGCCAAAATGTCTATGAACCTACAAGCATTTAAGGCGTGCGCGCCCGTGCCCGCATCCAATACTGCTCTTATGCTTACTGTGTACCGCAATTCAAGTCCCCGGTAAAACCTTGTCCCGAACCTTATCATACCCCAGAATCGTCAGCCAACTTTTTGATGCAGTTCTCGACATACCTTAAGGTACTGAACAGTCCAATCTATCCAGTCGCGCTGCTCTTCAGCCAAACCCACAGACACGAGATCAACAAGACGGTCGGCCGGTATCTTGCTGGCTGCTTTAACAAGACGATGAATTCCCCGTGTCTCCGGCGGCCCGTTGGCTGGTTTAAAAGGGCTCTCCGCCAGGCGCGACAGCAAAGAACCTGGCAAAGATCCATGGCTACTACTTCTACCACCCCGTCCCTATCCTCAGCGACATCACCGCCGCCGTCAATGCGGTCAATCTCGAGTAAGCAGGGTTTCTTCATCTCTTAACGGAGGATCTCCCTATTGTCTTCTTCTGTTTCTTCAAAGACGGCACGACTAATCATCAAACTATCGACCTACCAACAGCATCATCCACAGGCTCTACCACAAAACCCGCCGGCATCTCCTACCACCGCCATTTCGCCCTCCCTCCTCCGCTGCCCTCAGTCCGCCACACCCATCCCGACCCGTTCCCCGCCCTAACGGTGAAGCAGCTGGCCGTCCTCGACCCGACCGGCGCCCGCACCCGCCTCTTCGACCGCACCCAGCCCGACGCCGCCAAGGTCGGCGACGTCCTCCTCGTGACCACCCGCAAGGGCGAGCCCTTCGCCGGCGTCTGCCTCTCCATCCGCCACCGCGGCGTCGACACCGCCGTGCTCCTCCGCGGCCAGCTCATGCGCGTCGGCGTCGAGATGTGGCACAAGATCTACTCCCCCAACGTCGTCGCCATCGACATCGTCTGGCGCCGTCCCAAGCGCGCCAGGAGGGCCCGTCTCACCTACATGCGCCATCCCAAGCATGACATGGGCAGCGTCACCCACCTCGTCTCCGCCTGGAAGAAGGAGCGGCATAGCATGAGGAACAAGGGTAGGGGGTTCAAGGGCAAGACTGTCGGGGCGAGGTTTTAGGCCCGGCGAGCGTCCACCCCTTGGCGGGCGGAAAGGTTTGTCGCCATGACGGACAGAAGACTGGAAGAAGGAGATAGATATACACGGGGCCTTGTACAATACCTGACCTGAACGTTCACATGTAGTTTGTATTGTAAAAAAAAAAAAAATAAAAAAAAAAAAATAAAAAAAAAAATTCCACGAGGATGTACAGACAATATGGGCCGAGTTTTTCTATTCTCGGAGACCTTCATAGACCCAGAGCCAACCCCTGAACTGCCTTCTGCCCGTTCTGTCCCATCTCCCAAGTAGTGTACAACTAGAAATCACCTTTCATAAGAATGTGACCAAGAAGCTGGAGAAGAAAAATAGTAAGAATCATGGTGATAATAAAAAAACACAATGAATAAAATACGTAGAACAAAACGAGTAAAACAAAATATATGAAAATTGGTCCAATACTTCGACGTGTAACACCATGGAAATAGACCCCTACCCGACCCTTCTCTATACTCTAAGGAGAAAATGACGCCGAACTTCGAACTCCTCGACAAGTAAAATCAATTCGAATGCACTGGTGTTGTCACAATGCGCCGTGCCCTCACATGAGGCTCATCGTAAGGACCCAACTCGGCAGTGTCGGCTGGCTCTGTATGACGACGTTGCAAGCCCCCGCCGTCTGGCCTGTCCCCTTCACCGTCCGGCGACCGCCTGCGGGATCTGGTCCGTGGGTCCCGGGACATGGGCGGTCCTGGGTGAAAAATCGAAGAAATAAGACCTCGATGCATACTTCGCCCACGCCCCACGTCTACTCCAGTTGCCGCCGCCGCCGCAGTGCGACTGCGAGCTGTGGCCGTGGACATCTGGCGACTGAGAACCTGCTGCAGCTCTTGTCCCTCTGCCTTGAAGTGGTCTTCGCTGGGCAGGAGCACAGCCCGATCGAGGGCGTACGGAAGTCCACGATGGCGTCCTCGGATCTGCATCGCAATGATAACCAGTTTGCCGACAGTGCTGAACTGTGAAGACAGAGACATGTCGACGCCGGGGTATCCCAGGCTCAGTCCCACGGTACCGTAGGCGCTGATGATCTCGAAGAGCAAGCTATAGACGTTGAACTCGTTCCTCTTGATCTTCGAGCCTTCCGTGATTGTCAGCACGAAAAGCCCCAGACTCACATACCACAAATCGAATGAGAGCTGGCGACGCAAGTGTGTTCCGATAAAGGACAGCCCACTGGACTCGTCGCCAGTGCCGTCGTCCTCGCCAGACCCATAGATGCCGAGTGATCGCTCCTCGTAGACGTTCGTCCGACGTATGGACATGGCGATCGGGAAAACGGAGATGTACATCATTATCATGTAGGACACTTGGACGGCCGGATGAAGGGCCGAAATGCTGATGGAAGAAAACCCCGCCGTCCTCGTACAGGCCGCTTGGAAGATCCCGTTCACGATACGGGTATTGACGGGAAGCTCGTTGACGGCCGGTTCGTTGAGCTAAAAGAAGAGAACAGCAGAGTCAGCCTGGGGCCTACGGCCGGCCGGGCGTGGAAGACCGTAAAGAGACTTACATCAAGAACAACAAAAAATAGAAGATCGATGGCGTTGAGTGAGACCAGAATCCAGAACAGCCACCACGTAGCTGCAGTCGGAAACAAGAGCGTGAAGCAGCGACGAGGGTGGTCCAGCAGGAATCGAAGCTCCTCCCACACACCACTATCACGGGGCACTAGACGTGCCATGACCCAGATAATCGCCCGGAGCATGATGGGGAATCCCGTGTTCCCAATGATGATGACGAAGGCCATCATCATGAGTACATAGCGAGACTGATTGAAAGAGATCATGCTGTCCGGTGTCAAAGTGAACCCGACATCCAGGTAGGCCGAGTTGGCAGTAAACAAACCCCACCAAGTCCTAGACGCCCCGGCCGCCTCAACAACTTTTGCATAGCTCTCGTTGGCGCTGCTCCTAATCCACGGCACGAGGCAGACCAGGGAGAAAAGCCAGAAGCCCCAAAAGTAGACGGCAAGAATCAAAGCCAGGATCCTGAGGGACCGGTATTCGATGCCACCTAGTTCTTCGCGTTGCTCCTCGGATAGTTCTAGGAACTGGGAGTTTCGACCAATCGTGGGGGACCAGCTGAGATAGGGGGCATCATCGACTTGCCCCCTGGACACAATTCCCTTGATGGCATCGAATGTGGGACGCCTAGCCCTCTGGTGTGGTCTGGGGACATCGCGGCCCGCCTCCTCGTCATCTCCTGTGGCGTGATACGTCCTGTTGCCGCTCTGGAAGATCCGGGGCTTCCGGAATCTGAGAGGCTCTAGGACATTCCACAAGATGGAAAGCTCATGAGACCACTTCCCCCCGGTCCCATTCCGTGATGCGGGTTGAGATTCAGAGTGATCCTGTCGCCCTGCTTGGCTGGCATGGTTGGGAGGACGTGGAGGCTCGGCGATAGTGATAGTCTGCTGCTGTCGCTGCCGGGCAGCTGTGCCCCCGGAGTGTGCGTTGGCCCTGATCCCCGCACCTTCTGAGCCTCCCAGATGAGAATTTTGCTCGTCCGCCTCATCCTCGGATTCTGCTGCATGTCCGTCCTCTACCGGCATCGGCTTTATTCCCAGTTCGGCGTCCCTCGGGTTGGGAATTCGAAGCACCTCCTGGCTGCCGCGTCGGGGCCTGATAGCGACTCTGTTATCGTGGCTCGATTGAGGAGGTGAGAGTTTAGCAAGAGCTGTGCTTAGACCATCACTTCTTGTAACCGTATGGGAGAAGGTGATTTGTGTCGCATGGTGTGGCGATTGAGCTTCGGCCGAGTGAGGGCCCTCACTAGGGGGTTCCACGGTAGTGGGCTTAGATGTCTCATTTTCGTTGCTATCTTGACCGTCATCCGATGGATTTGGCTTGAAGACCATGTCCTCATTGGGAATCCTTGTACCCGAGTTCGGCATCATTGTGATGCTCCTTCCGGCGACGCCCGCCTCGGCCAGGTTTCGGCCATCACGGATTGAACTGAAGGATCTTGTCCGAGACTTGGGAATACTTGCTCTCCTCGCACGAGCATTCCTCACCATTCTTCGGAGGAACTTCTCGAACCAGTACAGGCGCAGGAAGACGACAAAGGAGTGTACGGTGATAGGATTCGAGGTCATCATGAAGATGTAGATGCAGACCTGCTGAAATGTGTTGAGCTTGTTGACGTTGACGGTGTTCAGGCCAGCTTGGGTGTTTGCGCCACTGGCGAAGAATAAGGCATCAATGTAATGGAGCTGGCCTTCGCTGGTCGCGTAGATGAGGATCGACGCAAGAATGGTCATCCCAACGATCCAGGAGTCTTGGAGCTGGTTAGCAACTTGCATGGCCGGTCATGGCCTTTCAGGGGTCGAGGGGGGCGAGACGAGTCAACTCACAGTGCGCCCAGATGAAGTTGAAATGTGGTTTCTTCGATGGAATTGAAGGTTTTGCGGCATGCAACTGGCGAAGTAGCCAGGCATAGGCTTTGCGAAACATGTTGAATCGACGTCGCAGTTAGAAGAGGTCTCCTGGGAGGTGAATTTCCGAAGGCCAATTTGCGCCTGTGTATTGATCAAGATGTCGGCCTCTGGTCTTCCAGGCTCATGACAACCCGCATCAGAGAAACATATTTGCGCGCATTGAGAGGACGTCGCAAATGCTTATCCGTATGTCAAGCGTTTTTCAAACAGGGGATGAAAACCATGTCGCTTACGATAAAGCGACAGATACTTTGATGGTAGATGCAGTCCTTGTCGTGCCTGTGATCTTTGCATGTCTCAAGTGATGATGGACGAGGTCCAGAGTCCAGGTTTATAGTGTTGTAAGAAACTGGTCCCTAGGGACTTAGGGCTAACAATGTTTCGGAGAGGCTAAGACGCAGTAATGAACACCTCGATTAGCGGTGGGCTTGTATTCCCTGTCGAACAGACCACAGTCTTTTCGGTTACGTAATAGGCCGGATTGCCAAGAGTACAATCCGGGCGGACGCTTGCAGAATCTGCACCATATAAAGTACGGTGGCAGCGTTTCCCTGACGGTCTGTGAGAGTTATAAAAATTATACACAATTACCTCAATCAATTTTGACCTATTTTGTGACGATTTTGACTACGCTTTATCTGATAATTAAGAGTCTCACTTGCTAAGTGAAGATATACCTATTTTACCTACCTATTTTACCTACCTATTTTACCTACCCTTTTACCTTTACTACTATCGATTTAAGAAGCTATCTAGCTGCGCCGATATAGCGTGTTAATCTATAAAATAACTATTAAGATATCGTATCTTAGCCCTGTTACGTATAAAACCTATAAGGATTAGGAGCTCTGGCGACGCCTATACGAATCGGTCGCCACCTATAATAATATATAGAGGTTTCTCCGCCTAGTTAATCCGACTTAGTCCCCCGAGGAGCCTATAATACCGAATTATAACTCTTTCCCCTCTATAACGCCTAGGCGTACCCCTATATAATATCTCGACCTTACAGACGCTGGTCAGAAAGCGTACGATATCGAAATCGCGCGCTAGAAGATCCTATCAACGTAATACGATAGCTACCTAAAAGGGATTAACGCTATACTAACCTAGTAGGTTAATACTATTAACTAAAGCCGCAGATAACTACTATAAGGAGGCACGCCTCGCGAGGTATATAACGCCGTTAAACGCGATACGGATGAGTACCTAGCCACCCGCTAAACCGACACCCACGAAGAATATATTAAGCACGCTTAGTACCCTACGAATAGCCTTAAGAAGCTCGGAGAGTAGTTAGATAAGTAGTAGCTATTACTGTAAAGCTATAAAGCTACCAGTTTAAAGCCCGCCACGTATATATAGGTTATAGATTTCTTTAGAGGTATACGCTCCTATACCGGACGCGATTAGACTAAGGCCGAGGGACGCCTTATAGATAACTAAGTAGTTATACCCGAAGACCTTTATACCCTCGGTTAGAAATATATTAATACTAGACTTAAAGACTAAGGAAAACGCGGTAGCCACTGCGCTATAGTATTCCCGGCACTATATACCGGAAGCGAAAAGGGCGAAGATACCTTAAATGCCACGGCTAAGCCTAAGAAGGGTGGCCGTAGGAAGAATAAAGCTAAGAATCCTGTAGCTATACCTTCTACTACTTTAGCTAACTATTCCTCTTCTAAATACCGTTAATCTACTCTACAGAGAGGGTAGATCTACCGTGTATACGCTATACCTAGCCACGATATTAACGCCTGCTTCTATCTATTCCCGGATACGGTATATAACGATTAGACACCCTTCGAGAGCACTAAAATAACCGTCTAACGGATCCTTAAATACGACTCCTCGCTATACGTAGAAGTAGAAGAACTACGCGCCGTAAAGAAGGTGAAGAAGAATATAAGCCGGGACTTAGTATAGCTTAAAGAGGCATGACTCGACTATAGCAGCGTCCGTAGTATCCGTAGCGGCGTCTCCTATGCCGTTAGCTTTATAGCAGGAACCGCTACTGCTAGTTACCCTCTTTAAACCTTTACTATCCTCGATTCCGGCACTACTATTTATATCTATAACGATTTTTCCCGTTTTTCTGATTTTATACCCACTATATAGGAGGACTATATAGTAGCCGGTAATTCGTCCCTGCCTATTAAAGGTTACGGTAACGTGACCGTAAGATTAAACGGACTAATAGGAGGCCTCGATTTTAGGCTATTAAACGTCGTATACTATAAGGATTTTACCTATAATTTAATCTCCAACTAACGCCTACGTCTTCGAGGATACTAGTAGGATTAAAAGCCACTAAATAACTGTATTCGGCGTTCTGATAGATCTATACTATGCTAGCTAAGTTACCGCTTCGATTGAACCGTTATTAAATACGTGCCCTCTAACTAATCTACGGCTACTTTTCTAGGCTCTTCTTCTTCTACTACCCGAAAAGGTGTCCGTAAATCGACGATACAGTATCCAAGCACTACGGAGGGTATCTTATAGTATCTACGCCTAGGGCACGCAGGCCCTAAACCACTTAGGCACCTAGAAGAGTAGACGTAGGGGGTTAAAATAAAGGGACTAATAACTATCGACTACAAGGCCTATAAGCTTATCAAGATTAAACGGCATATTAGCAGGCGCCCTTATACCGTACCTACCTATATAGGGGAGCGGTAGGCGATTAATTTCACGGATTTTAACCGAACGTCCGATAGGGACTCACGGTTTATATTTTTCACCGACCGTTATAGTGGTTTTACGGCCACCTATATTATAAAAAATAAGCTGGTAGTGGATATCCTCGTAATAATTAAGGAATTCCTCGCCTAGGTGGACCGTTAATTAGGCTATAAGGTGCGCGTTTTCGAATCAGATAACGAGCTAACTTAATCCTACGATATCACCTAATTCCTACGTAATAAGGGTATCCTTTTAGAGGTATCTACTGCCGATACTTAAGCGCAGAATAGGGGTGCCGAACGCGTTACTGCCGTGGTTATTTCGAAGGGTCGTGCGATAAATATCCACGTAAAACTACCGCCGTTTATATAGCCTAAGGCTATTCCCACAGCTATATACGTCTATAATCGGACGCTATAAAGACAGTATAATAATAAGGAATAGAAAACGCTATACGAGGTCCTCTTTAAAAGGAAGCCGATTTTATTATATCTTCGAGCTTACGGCTATAAGGCGTACGCGATAATAAAGGACGCCTAAAAGGGCGCGAAGAAGCTATTACATCGTATTACTCCCCGCGTATATATCGGCTACCTTATTAGCTACGATTTCACTAATATCTTCCGTATCTAGGTACCAGGCCGGCGCTACCACCGCGTTATTCGCACGCGCGATATGGATTTTAACGAATATACCTTTTTTAACGGCGATATTAACGCCTTTAAGAACGATCTCCGTTAATTAACCGAGGAGTAATTAAAAGACCTGATTAGTTACATCGAGTAGGAGAGGGCTAGAGATTTATGGCCGTTTACGGACGTATACGCTAAGGACCCCTCCCCCCTTATATAACTGCTTATTTTAAATTATTAGATCCGGGGATAAACGCCCCCGGATCCCCTTCCTCGACGGCTTTACCGTTAAGGTTATAGTTCGTAATACCCGGCTATAAGGGGGTAGAGGAGGCTATCTCGAGTTAATCAGGATAAGATATAGATCACGAATAGTGTGATTTAGCCAGTATAGCGCCTGATTACCGTCTATATCCGCCCGATCCATTATTTCCCACTCCACTAGTCACCCCGCTATCGGTTATAGCGCTAATAGCAGCCGTTATATTAGAAAACCGTAATACTCCTATAGCTGTAGAGTTCTAAGATAACGGAACACGGTACTATAATACCCCTATAGCTACGGCTATAGGGCTTCTATTAAATAAAGGAGCGTAACTAATTTAGTAAGGAGATAGCTAGAAAAGAGACTATTAGGTTACTACGTTTAACGCTAGCCGCCACGCCCCTAATATATATATATTAAATAGGACTCTGCTAACTAAATTATGGTTAAAAAGGTCTACGTCTATAGCATTATAGCGACGCTTAATAATACCCTGCGAATCCACGGCCCTAGCGGCAGCCACTGGAAGTATATCCCGGGAGGCTATCTCAGGAACTATTATCGCACGTTAAATAGGCACTTGAATGATTAACTTAGTAGAGCAGAAATCTCGTGTGTATGTATTATATTAAGTTATATCTAGGAGAGTCTTTTACGCCCTTAATTTAGGTGGTGAAGACTCTATTATGGGTACTATATTATTTAGATCCTATCCGGTCTTTTCCGGTATCCGCCCTTATTATATCCTGATACCTGAAGTCTCCGATATCCGGAGCCCTTAGTTATGGAGTGGATCCCCCCTGGATCCCTCATAGACTATATCATAGTCCTGCCTATACGATACACCCCCTTAGTTAAGGTGGGTCTTCCCAGATTAACTAACTAATCAAAGGCTTCGGTTTAAACTAAACGCTCTTAACTTTTCTATCGTAAAATTAATACTTAAGGGAAAACGCCCTCGTAAAAGGGATCCAAATTCGCCCTATTTAACCGTTTAATTTAATTCTATCTTAATTAGTTCCTCGATCCTGATTAGCCGGATCTAATTAATTAGATCTATATTTATCGAATCTGCTACGCCCTTAGAGGCCTTTATTACGGCCGCTTTAGCGCGTTTAATCTTTTTATATAGTCGTTTAGACTACTCGATACGATCCTTTTAATTAGTTAAATGAAGCTATTACTATAATCTTTTAATCCCCGCCTCCGGTAATGCCTTCGTTAATCCGTCCGCGATTATCTTCTTCGTGTTAACGTATATAACTTTAAAAAGACCTTATTATACTAACTAGCGCGCCTACTAGTTATATATATCGACGTGCTATAGCCTTATCCGTAGGCGTTATGCCTTCTTATTAATAAGGTTAATAGTCTATTAATTATCATAGTATAGCTATAGCTATTATTAGTCTAGCCGAAGCTCTAAATCCCTTAATATCCGGCTGATAAATAACGTCTCTTTAGCGGCCTCTATAAGAGCGAGTAGTTCTAATTCTGTTATCGATATCGTGACTGTCGGTTATTTACCCGCTTTCTAATTAACGGTGCCGCCGAAAAGCTTTATCGTATATCCTTATAAACTCTTACGGTCTAGATTATCCCTAAAGGACGCGTCGCTTACTATTAGAAAAAGCCTATCCCCGCCGAATTCCAGGCAGTAGTGTCTTATATAGTATAAGAATAGTAGCACTTATTAAGCCCTCTTAAGGTGGTTAGAGGAGAGGTTAACGTTATATTAGGAAAGCTTTAAGCAGGCAAACGCGATATCGGGTGTTATTATAAT